ATTATTCTCTCCTTCTCTCTCTCTCTCTCTCTCTCATTAAAATGTACCTACTCCTTTCAATTAAGATAAGAATAAATCAAATAAGCGAATAAATGTCTTTATGTACTGTCATCGTGACATGAGTATATTTAACTCATTCTAGAAGTCATACTATTATGAATGAATAAAATACTTCATCTTGTAATGTTATTCAGATTGGTGCTGCAACGCCAATAAGGCAAGTACCTTATTCCGAATATATAACTATATATAACTTGTATGCGTGATCTACACATCTTTGCGTAGAGTTAGTTTTAAAATAAATTCCTCCCCTCCTTCTTTTGGAAGTTTCCCCACATGTTTTGTATGAAGATTGAGAAGTGAAAAGCCAAAACCTTTTTTTCCCAAATATAATTTTTTTTTAAATGAGAGGTTATTGCACAAAATCGCGTACGTTGACGTTTTTTGACATGCATAAATATTATGATTCTGTCAAATCTAAAAAATTATATTTGCTGGTAATCAATACATTTGTTCTGTTGTTCACTATATGTGCAGTTTATTGAGTACTAGCGAATTGAACGATATTGGTTTATGTATACGTGCTTCGCAAAGTTATTTATATAATCCAAGTATAATGTGTTCCTAAGGTAAGAACAGTGAAATATTCAAGAAACAATATAAACTATGAAGAAACATACAAGAGATGTGAAAAAAACTGCACATTCATAAAAATCATAGCTATATATGATATCTCAAAAAAATAAAACGATTATTTATTGCTTTGATGGAGTTATTCCCCCTGAAAGTTACTAAATTTTATATATATTTATAATGCAAAAAAACCCAAAGTCGTCCCCACAATTTACTATCACCCTCAGATTTCAGATCGGTAAAACCATCAATCATACATGTTTCGAACCTATATGGGTTTCATCATCAGCTAATTATCTGAAAATTCTACAATAAAAGAAGAACAACATATAGGATACGAAAATTTTATAATGGAGAAAAGTATCACATGGCACCAATGAATAATTGGATACAATGACATGTTAATAGTAATGAAAATTTTATATTTAGTAATATGAAGTAAGTTTAAAACATCCTAGCTATAAATGACTGAGGTATGGGAGACTTGGAGCATTTATACCCAACGATTATGGACATACCCACTAATTAACACCAAAATCAAAAAACCCCACAAGAAAAATGTGAAAGACCGAACTGAATTAAATAAGAAAGGAGAACCAACTGTCAAAAATATATAAAGAATCAAAGTCGAGAGGACATGGAACAGTGACAAGAAACCTTCAACACGGAACACAACAGAAGAAGGACTACCACATACATATCAAATCGTGTTCTGAGCAAACAAATCCCATACCATCTATACATGCCAGCTTGTTACAATAATTTGTAAAAGTAATTCAATGAGATCAGTCAGGTTGCAAGAACAATTGTCCCGATCAGCACCACTATGCGAGACATCTATCGCCCATACATGAAATTAGGAAAAACTGTCAAACCACTGTGCAACCATACCAATAAAATGAATAAAATATGGATTTATGGAAGATTAAGGCAGGGAAAATTTAGTTGAAAGTAAGGGAATTGAAAAACTGTTTGTAATCAAACAACTGTGTTTGTTCATTAAGAGAGATAAAATTGGGATTATTAATAGCAGAGTTCATTTCAAAAATTTCAAATGAATTGAGTAAAGTGCCTTTTTGCCAAACATGTAAAATATGTAAATCAGAATCAATATCAAAACTGTGGTTGTAATTATTGATGTGATTAGAAAACGTGTGTTATAAGTGTAGATTTCTGAAATTATCATTAGTTTAACATGTTCAAGAACTCTTGTTTTAATTTTCCTACCACTGTGTCCAACATACTGAGCCGAACAATTTGGTTGTGGTCCTTCTTCTATCGTTTTGTATGTGCACGTATCTTGTCATTGTTCCATGTCATTTCGATTTTATTTCTTTATATATTTTTGACAGTTAATTCCCCATTCTTATCAAATTCAGTTCGGATCTCTTTCATTAGAATTCGTTTTCATGGGGTTTTTTATTTTGATGTTAACTAGTGGTCAGTCATTTATAGTTAGGATGTTATAAACTTCCTTCATATTACTAAATATAGAAAAAAATTCATTACTATCAACAAGTTATTGTGACCAATTATTCATTGGACATGTGATAATTTTCTTTTCTCCATTATTAAATTTTCTACTCCATGTGAGTATTTGTATACTTCATTGTATTGTAACAATATTTCACTATCACAACTAATTTATATTTAACACTTACCAACTAACGCTTAATTTATTTTCACTATTCGAATTCTTTGTTTAACCGCGTGATTCGCTTTCTGAATACAGATTGCTGTCTCTGGACGAGAAGCCGGCCTTTTATATCGGTAACGATCGCTCTAGATTTCTCTAGTGGTTTCGGTACTCATCTATACTTTTCGCGGCGGTTCGCGGTGAGTCATGTGTTTATTGGCTGGCTGAGATATCGGTCAGGGCGGGCTTCAGATTCGTTACATTGCCCCCTTCTTAAAGACGTTTCGCCCCGAAATGTCATCTTTGGCGTGTGTCGATACCTGCAGACCGTAACACTCCACAGTCTTCATGCTCGGTTGTGGAAGATGGTTACCACATACCAAAATCTTGATGCCGCTGGATCTGAAGATCGTTTCCAACATGCTTCTCACAATTCTCCAGTCCAGCCTGTCGAGCCAAGAGGCAAATTTCGGGATTGCCAAGACGACGAGATTCTGGTCGAGCATCGTGTCCTTCAGTCTAGGAAGACTCCTCCAGACATCTTCATAGGACGGTTTGTTTCGAGAATGCTTTTTGGTCACCAAGTAGAAAATATTTCACTGATATTTCAACTGTAGCACTCCTCCGACTTCAGGATTCTGTTCTCGTAATGTTTGGAGCTGACCGAATGTCTTGTTGAATACCACAGCAATACCATTGGACATTCGGAGATCCTCTGCCAAGCAGTGAGCTAGTGCGTAATCAACTGGAACCTTGAAAAGGTCTCGTGGCTCTTCTTGAGTTACCCCATGTACGACCTTCTGTCCGTTCGAGTATAAGGACATGAATTTCTGGAACGTCATTTCATCCTCTGGTAGTCTGAGGGCGCGAACTTGGTCGTTATTTCCAGCATAAGGACAGCCTTGATGTCATAGGCCTTCTTCATCCTATCGCTGGCACTCCGGATGTTCAGACGGATGTCGTCCATTCTCTGCCGAAGCTTGCTGACATAGTCTTCTTCTGCAGTGTCTTGTTCTGACGGCGTCCCAAATTTCAGGTCGCAAGGAAGCCGCAGCTCTCGGCCCATTATGATATTGGCAGGGGTTTGGCCGGTTGACTCGTGTACTGCCGAACGATAAACCAGCAGTAAGAGGTGGAGGTATTGGTCAGAGACTACCTTGGACAAGTGGCTGTTNTGGATATTCAATTTTGGATATCTTATGGTTATCTGTTTTGGATATCTTATGGATGTCCAAAATATGTCCTCGGGAGAATATCCAGTTTTTGGATATCTTATGGATATTCAATTTTGGATATCTTATGGTTATCTGTTTTGAATATCTTATGGATGTCCAAAATAGGTTCCCGGGAGAATATCCAATTTTTGGATATCTTATGGATATCCAAAATAGGTCCAAGGATATTCCGACTTGATTTGGACATAAATTGGATATCCATAAGATATCCAGTGTTATCTGGGAAGCCATATTGCCATGTTCGTTGAAAGATTTGTATGAAAATTATGCACATATGAATTGCTACACCAGTGTACAGTCATCTTAACCGTGATATAATAAAGTGATTTCATGAATATATCAATGTCATCAAAGTGTTTGTTGGATGGTGTTAAGCTGAAAAAATCTCAAATACATCATGAAACAAAACTATTCATTTTTTTTCAATTAGATCAATATTCATTTCTTAATAATATAAACCAACTGACCTGGGCTTGTGTTGTGGTATCTTCTCTTATATTGACAATTTTTCTCCAATATTATGACATGTATTTTCAACAGTTCAGATCATATATATTTTGAAAACTCGTATATGGATTTTTTGAGCCTTTCAACAATTGTTGTCCTCATAAAAGTAGTTACCTGCGAAAAACTTTGAAAGTCTCAACTTTTGCGAACTGAAGATTAACGAGGTCTTACCTTTCAACGCGTGCCGTTTAGCATGGATTAGACGTTACTCTATGAATGTTTATCGTTCCGATACTACATTCACAATAGCATTGAAAACTAACGACTCACGTTGACCAACAGGCCACTGTCCGAATATGCACGAATGAAATTAATTTTTTGAATGAGTATTGTTCATATTTCTCACAAATCATTTATCTTGCACCACCTTCAATTGGAGTTGGATGATTTTTTATTGAAATCAACTTGGACAAGATTTAAAAAAATGTGTTTGTTCAAAAAGTGACGTCATCGAAATGAAAGAAGAAAAGTTTATTATAGATTTTAAAATGAATCGAATAAAATTTTTCCTATCCCTGTTTGATATCTTGGGATCCTCAGTTCATTACTGAAGAAGTTGTTCCTACGAATGACAACCAGTATATCGAAAACGGAATTTTATGTCATATCTATCTTAGTATACTCAAAGTGTAGAAGCTACAACAGTAAACTGTTGTAGCTTCTACAACAGTTTACTACAACAACAGTTTACAAGTTAGTTCTTAGTAGTACTAAGAACTAACTTAATAATCAGAGTGATGAATCAACATTTGACAATACCTAATGTTTAACATCTATAGCATATTATCAAGCTAAATTTTGATCTTACAATCGTCAACGTTCTTTAAGACCGCTTTAGAGCCATGTGCTAGAGACGCAATTATTACCGCAAACCCCTATTAGTTTTTAGGAGCCTCCACACCACACAATCTTTTTTACTTTCTTGATAGGTCTGACAGGAACCTTTTGTTGGTAACTTGTAAATGATCGCGCATGCGTCCAAATATCAACGAAGTAATCTTTTTATTCTTGCGATGAAATGGCACTCGAATTTTCGTTGCGACATACTCTAGTGAATTTAATTTGAATTTTGTAATTCTTAGAATAGTTTTTTGATTTTCATTACTTTAATCGATTCGACATTAATATTAGTATAATCGGTAAGTCAGATTCGCCGATTTCGAATCGAAAGAAATAAATATGATCTTTTAGATCATAATACAATTTTTGGAATAGATAGAGGATCGTTTCCAAAAAAATGTCAACATTGTCCAGCTATTAAAAATTGAGAATGTGTTAAGAGGTAAGCCAGATTATTCAGTCGCTATTTGAAAATACCTTCCTCAAATTAATAAATGTAGATGGCAACAATTTTGACTAGAATAGATAGATTTCAATTGAAATTTCCAATAAATACAGGCAAAGTACCTAATAACCCAGACTGAGACCTTCCGTAGCAATTAATTCGAGGGTTTTCGAAGAATCCAATGTTAACTATTAATGGAAAGTTGACTAACATAAGAAAGATTTTATTATGTTTTAATTTTGACCCAGGATAGATTTTTGAAATTTTAGATTTATGCATTTGGTAATGGTTTATACAATGCAAATTGTAACTAAGATAGATGCACCATTCTCAGGTCGCAAGTTTTGAATCTTAGGAATTCATGATCCGACTTCTTAAATCTTATCATTCACCACTGAAGATTGAACACGTTCACGAAATGTCCTAAAGGAGGATATTTTACAACCAATATTTTAAAAACCTGAATTAATGCCCATGTCAACACCATCTTTGTTGAACATTATCAAATCTGCTTATTATTATTAAACGTTTCGAAAAGATAATTAACATAATAAAACCCGATTTGTGCAGTCGTATAAACACTGACTTCAAGCGGTGTAACAATTGAGTGACGAGGAAATACCCTAGAGTGTCGAAAAGTGCATTTTATTTGAAAATGTTCAATTTAACAAAGGAATGGTAAGCCTGGAATGAAAATGTGACCTCACAGTCTGGTTGACTTTCTGAGAAAATGACAAGGGTTGAGACGGGAAAAGATTCAGGTTAATCAAATACTTTTCAGTTCAGTAAAACCTATGCCTGACAATGGCTACTTGAACCTTATGATCTTAATGGAAATTTTTTGTTTTATTTTTGAAAATTTGAATTGATTTTGCTCACGGAATATATGAAGCATTAATACAAACCTCGAAAGAATAAGTTTCCAAAAAAAGTATTCCTATCATCACAAAAGGTATTTACAAAACGTTTTCAGTTTTATAGGAAAAATAAGCTCATAACAAATTTACGTACAGTTATTCAAATGTGTTTTGTTGGCAAATACGGTAGTTAGGAGCAGGTTTTATAAAGTTAAACTAGATTCTTGTACATACTTATCAGACAGTGGATTTTAAAACTCTTGTTGTTATAAGGGGTGTTATATGCTTGTGTAAACCTGGTCGTTGGTAGATGAATATATCTTCAGAACTAGGAAATACATTTTATTTGTTTTCTATTTCTGTGATTTTTCAATATATTTTTCCTTTCAATACATATAAATCAAGGTGCATAAGTACAGATATATCAACATTATTATCAGATTTATTGTTCTTTTATATTTTATTTTCAGAACTTTAGGTGTTCCATGTATAATGCTTCACAAGTGGTTGAACAAGTGAAACCAATGAAAGTTTATCAAATATTTTCATATTTGTTTTATTGCATATAAGTGATCAGGCCGTTTTGCCTAAAAAACTGTGCATCTTGTTGAGGTCTTAGGTAAATAACTAAAAAGTCACATAATCTATAAATACATATATATTATGGATTCAAAGCCATGTATTTAGTGAAGAAGCACAGTAAATTGTTTTGATAATGTGACTGGGATTTGTATTTTGATAATTTTGTAAAATATTTCAATTTATTTTTATTTTAAAGCTACTTTGCTAGACTATGTAGTTAATTTCCCAAGCATCTATAAATGAGTCTGTGTTTGAGATGACTGTTATTATTTCTTCTAGTAATGTGATATATTTCCCCATTGATACTCTGCTTGTTTGAATAACTTCTTCATTATTTGGGTCTGAATATAATAAATGAATTTTGGTTAATATTATGTTTATTTTGAAACATAAATATCCATCCTAATAAGTCAAAAGTCCATTAAATAGCAATTAAAGTCGTTTGCTGCTTACTATACAGACCATTTTTTTCAGCTGATCGCACTATTGCTATCTCAGAAACAGTAAGACCTACAAGATTGGTTAACTTGGACAAACGTTTCCTATTTTGGGGAACTAGAAAAATTCTTTTCAGATCGAGATTATCAGTTGTTGTTTTTGAAAAATTCACCAAAAACTAGAATTGTCGAATTTCGTTTCTTGGCTTACCACTTCCATTTCGAATGTTATAAAAAAAAGACAGAAAATCAATACTGTTTCATATTTGTTATAATCTAATATAAACCATTTTCCAATACGACATTTCGTTCATTAGATTTCATCAACTTTTTTTATAAATAACAAAAATAGCCATGTATTACAATACAGTTCCCAGTCAGACCTACCTCAAAAAAGTAGGCAGCAATATTTTTTGGGTCTAGAACTCATTGCTATTTTCATATTGGAAGAACATCAATATACCAAGTAACAAACAGAAAAAAATGAAGGTCAAAATACTCTTAACCATGTACGTTGTTAACGATACCTCATCAAATGTTCAAATTGCCGTACATTGTTTTTTAAACACATACTCGCTCTTGCCATATAATTTTATTGGCAATTTTCCAGCATTTGTGTAGTTATAACCAGGCAAGACTCCTTACTGTTTCTTTCAGTTCGTAAATATTGCCAAAAGTTGAGCTGAATACCTTGTCTTCAATGAATCTCCACAATGAGAAGTCCAGAAGGGTCAGGTGAACGTGGTGGCCTATTGTTTCCTATCCATTGTCCTGACATAGTCGTATTGAGAAAATCTCTGCAAATAGTTCTGCGATGAGGCATAGCTTCATCATGTTGAAAATACTAATATTTTCTCAAAATATTGAAAGGCAAATCTTTCATCAACTCATCTATAGTTCAACTATGATTTCCTGTCAAAGATGTTTCAAAAAAGTAGAGACCTATAATCTTGGTATCTAGCACTCCAAGTCAAACATTAACTCCATCTCTCTTGGAAATGTGTAGCTCTATGTTAGAAAAAATTTTCTTGTCGCCAGTGATAATGAATATTTCTCTTGAACCATCCATTATTTTTCTCCTATCATAGTCTGTTGAACGCAAATGGTGGATTTTCTGAGTTTGTAAGATCTAAATTTATTTCTTAAAGTTTTTTGAACTGACGATATACCACTATGATGTGCAATCTTTTTCAATTATACTACTTTGTTTTCAATTTTTCGGTATTCCACATAATCTAATTCAAATAAATATCACTTCATTATTACTGAGAATGTCTTGTGAACTTACCCAAAACGCCAATTTCAGTATAGCCACCTCTTTAGTTACTGTACAACTCTTACTCGAAGGATTTTCAAATGAACCGTGATTCAGTAAACTCTTCTGAATGTGTTGAAAATATCTGTTGGATGGTTGACCTCTCTCAGACAAAGCTAGAGATCTAGTAGCATTTCTCAAACATCTCACATATACGAAAATTCTTTGGGCAAACTTCTTAATTTTGGCAAAATAAGATTTTATATTTGACTTTTATGCTTTTATTCAGAAACAAAACTGACAATAACAATGCTAACTATATAAAACAATGAACAATCTCAACTTCAATACCAGATGTGAAATTAATTCAGAACAAAAATCATAACAAATTTCTTGTCATTAGAAAAATTTGTAGTTTTTCCCTCACAATTCACACGAATCAAATCATTATTTACGTACTTGACAGTAGATTTGGCAATTATACATATTCTGTTAATTAATAATAATAATAAACAGCTTTATTTCAGAGTAGATTACAAACTTTTATTGCAAAAGGTCTATAACATAGAATGAAATGGCGTCAAACAAGAAGGTACAGATTTTTTGTTATAAATATTTTTATGAGAGTGAGATATGCGTTCAAATCATAGGGCTCTAAGTCTATGAGACGTTTTTTAGTTCTCTTTTGAAAACTCCAATTTTCTTAGTTAGTTTTAATCTGTTAGGAAGATGGTTGAAAAGCTTGATTGACATATAGTGGGCGCTTTTTTCAGTTACTGTTAGTCTATGAAGGGGATATATATATTCATTTGTTCTAGTGGGATATTTATGAGCAGGTATATTTTCAGTGAAGAGGTGTGAATTTTTATAAATGAACATTAGGCATTCATAGATATAAATCGCGTAGATTGTCATTATATTGGTGGATTTGAATACTGTTCTGCAAGTTTGGTTATAATTTAAATTGTTGATTCCTCTTATTATTCTTTTTTGAACTATGAAGATTTTTTCGATATTTCAATTGCTACCCTAAAAAATAATTCCGTATCGAGCAACCGATTCGAAGTTAGCCGTGTATATTGTTTTTATAGCCTCTTTGTGCAGATATTTTGATGTAACTCTAATTCCGTACGATATTCCACTTAGTTTGTTTGTGAAGTTATCAATATGAGAAGTCCAATTCATGTTCTCGTCTATGTGGATTCTTAAAAATTTGGTGTTGTGGGACAGTTCTAAAAGAAGAGTTTTGAAGGTCCACCCTAACTGGATAATCAATGTTGTCTTGGTTTGTTCTAAACAAAATCATATGCGTCTTCGATTCATTTAGTACAAGTTGATTTTTATTGAACCAGTCCTAAGTTTTGTTGAATAGATCTGTAATTCAACATCATCTCTGGGAAGGTTTCACCACCTGATAACAGACTTGTGTCATCTGCGATGATAGTTTTGAACTGACGTTGGTTTAGGTTTAGATTACATAAGTCGTTCAAATAAATGACGAACAAAAGAGGGCCGGCAGTGCTGCCCTGCGGAATTCCCACGTCTGTGGGAAGGGTTTCGGATTTATAGACTCTTCCATTTCGTTTTATTTCTACAGATTGAAGGCGATCTGATAATTATAACCAAAGAAGACCATGGCAAAACCAGGAAACCAACCAAAACGGTTCATTTATGTCCCTTTATTTGTTATAAATGTTTTTTCAATCACTATTACCAAGTGTCATTACCTGCAGAGTATTTAATTTATTTATAACTTCAGTTATTTTTTTTGTGGGAAAATTAAAATTCAAGATAGGTTCTTAATATAATAATCTAATTCTTATAAGTTTATTATAAATATTTTTGTTGTGACTATCACCAAGTGTCATTGCCAGCAGAATATTTACATTATTCTTTATGATTTATGACATTAATTTAGCTCAGTTGTCATTGTTTTAATTGATAATTCATTTCTTCAAGAAAAATAAAGGAAAAGTTGATGACATTCATCTTAAAATCTATTTCACTTCTCATAGTTTAGATTATTGAAACTTTCAATCTAATTTTATTATGTCCAATTGCAGGTTTCAGTTGATTCTGGATTCCTGCCTAAAATAAAAGGATTGAAATATGGTCTCAACAAGGCAAATGACAATAGGGAACAATGGGGCTGTGGAAGGAAACCAACTTCCCAGTGACGGACCTGCAAAATTTACTAGGAACAGTACTACTTCGATGGCTGGGTGTAGTGGGACTGTGCCATATTCCAAGATACTCACACCCCCGGTGCAAACAGTGTATTTTTTGGATCTCCCACAAGAAATTTTGGAGAAAATATTCGGCTACTTACCATTTAGGAATATCTGTCAGATGAGATTGGTGAGTAAACTATTTCCATATCAAAAGATTCATGTTAAATCAGCTCATTTATTTATTTGTCTTATTGTACAAACACTACCAGTCATACCCCGATTACAGAGTAGGAAGTATATCACAAGTAGGTTTATACACAGGGCCTAATTACACAATGATGAAGAATGATAAAATATCATGAGTGTAAAAACTAACAGTTTGATACAATCTGCTTTTGAAGCTTGCAAGACTGAAAATAAATGTCAGTCATTTTTTGTATTGTTGACTTGACTCATGACGTTTGAAGGAGCACTCTTATACTATAAGAACATAGGAGGTAAGATTGAAGAGAACAAACCCAGGCTAGAAGGCCGTGGTCGAAGGAACCTGATCTTCGTTTCATTGATGATATCAGTCGATGGTGAGATCTTGAAATATAACTTTCGTCCTCGCAGTCAACGCACATACCACTAATGATGTCTGCCGCAGTAGCTGACGAAACGCTTAGTACTTCAGGTTCCATTTGACCAAGGCTTACTAGCACAAATTCTATTCTCTTCAATTCTTGGAGATTCAATATAAAATGTGCCAGAGAATCTTGTTCCATATGCAGGTACATTAAAATTGATTTCTGACTGAAGACAGGGATGATCCATACTATTTTGCAGAATTTTGTGTAGTTAGTGTAGTGAGAATACTCTTTTTCTCTTGTATTATTTCAATGCTATATGTGTGATACCGGGGTCACCAGAAAATGGATATATATTCCAAAATGAGTCTAACAAGTGTTTTGTGCTACAGTTTGATCCAAGCTACATTAGTGAATTGACTGGAGTTTATAACTAAAAATTGATACATCTTTGATGCTTCATTTTTTATGTTTATTATCTGAGATTTGAATGATAATTCAAAACCCAATGAGACACTGCGGTCTATCATTAATTGAGTTCTTTGAAGTATTACATCATCAATCTCATAGTTATATGTGATACTAAATGAAGAAAGAAGTTATAATATTATATTTTTCGAAATTAAAATGCAACTTATCACTCATCAAGATTCAAGTTTCTTTGTAGGAACATACAGTCTTCAATATTTGTAATGTTTCTATGTGTGTTTGTAGAGGTCTACAATAAATGTAATATGCACCTTGGCAAAAAACTATCTATTGTCTCGCCTGCTTGCTAGACTTGGCTATCAATTTGCAGGCTCTACAATAATAGACAGTTTTTCGTCCTTGCTACAAAAATAACTATTACACGACCATCGAAAAAATAAATGGATCAATATTTCAAGATATTTGACACAGTCTCTTTCAATAATTTGTATAATATTGGTGATTTTAACAGGGCCTAGGTTGGAAAATGGGTTTGCATATAGTGAATGAAAGATATCTGGTTTTATAGAAATTTATTGTTGAAAATCCATCATTAAATCATTGTATAAAATATTTGAAATTGTCTAGACTTATGATTTTCTATTCAACTGAAGTTTGAAACTTTCACGGGCTAAAGTAAAATTCAAACTTATCTGGACTGGGTAGCCGTGGTCCAGTCAAGAAATGGCTGGGTAGCTGTGGTCCAATAAAGAGATTAACTCCGAAGTTAATCTCTCCATTGGTCTAGTGTCTAGTGGAAATTTCACAATAAAGTGTTACTTGAATAAGTCTAGTTTGATATTTATTTATATCTTCATATCTGGGCATATGGCTTTTGATTTTATCAATATAACAGGCAATTTTCATTATGTACAGACAGGGCAAAGGTGGAATATTTAGCTCCTCAAATATAGATTTACAAAAAAATCTCACTGAAATATTCTTAATACCACTTAGTGTGTGGTATTGAGATAGAGTGTGTAAAGAGAAAGTCTAGAAAGATAATTTTCCACAACAGATAATTATTCGATAGTGGAGAGTGGGCTTCAGCAAAATTGAAATTCCCCAGGCAGCGTGAATCAACAACACTCCTCATACGTCAAATTTGGTATAATTTATTAGTATTTTTTTTTATTGCAGTTCAATTAAGAGGGGGTTGTTGATCAACCTCTTGTCTTGCATGAATGATTAGATACACCTGATTTGCCAAAAACAATTTTCCAAGTTTATCCAAAAGTGATCTGCATAGCCAAAGCTTATGAAATAGTGCCTTGTGAGCGATCTCCTACAGGAGATCGTATTTTGTCTATTTCTGACAGTAACATCATTATAAAAATTTACAGTAGCAGTTGTTGTGGATTTGTCCTTCCGAAAGCATTGTTGCTAGATAGGTATTAATTGATATCTTAATGAAAGGAATAACTTGATTGAGTATGCAATACTATGTGTGCTTGGCAACTGGAGATAGTCCTGATACTGGCCTGTAGGTTTCCACATGTTTTATCCCTATTTATAAACCGGAATTAGCCGATCTGAAATGATTAAAGAATGCACCTGTTTCAAAGGAACGATTAACTATGCATGTCAAATGTCCCGTTAATTCACTACCAAATTTTTATACAACAGTTGAAGTAATTTTACCAGGTCCAGTAGACATTTTGTTTTTCATCCTCACTTTTGCTGAGCGTATTTCAATTGCTGAGATTGGAATCAGAACAATGGAATCTACATTACTCTTTCCTGAAAAATGATCATTTTTACGAATAGATTTTACATTTTTTGTTGCCTCTATGAAAAATTTATTGAATTTGTCAGTTATAGTTTTGGGACAAGTAATTTCATTGTTGTCAATTATAACTCTCATTTGGGAATTGTCACTGATTTTATTTCTGAAATATTTGTTGGAATCGGCCGATACTTGATGAAAATCCATAACATATTCAAGAAACCCTTTATTGTGAGGTTTTCACTAAACAGTTTCAGATTTCTACTGTAGTTTTTTATTTCATCAGCAACCCACGATTTTTTCTTTGGATTATACTTAATGTTTGAGAGAGGTAGTAAACACCTATCAAAAGTTTTCCAAAATATTGAATTCATCATTAAAGTTGAAGGTAGTGTAAACACTAAATTGTAGGGCAGTGAAGAATATTTCTTTCTTGCTAAAATTGAAATACCGCTTCTGCCTAAATTGAATAGTCATACCACCAAAAGACCTTTTTATTATTTTGTCATTGACCATGACTAATATATATCTATGATCCGAGATAAAATTATCACTTACCAATTTTGTACCATTTAATAAGTATCTAAAATTATGATCAGTTCTTGTTGTATTAGAAGAAGTTACCTCAGTATTTTCGACAGTAGTATAATCATTGATAAATTTGTTGCTTACAATTGATATATTAGGCACTTCATTTCTTTCCTTCCATGTCTCTAAAAATTAATAAAATATGTATTAGATCCATATAATTCTACTTGTAATAAAATATTTTTATTATTGATACTTCGTACGTTCAAAAAGAATATTAAAAATGAATAAAATTAACTGCATCACACAAACTTGACAGTTTATTTCCTTGTGAAGTTCTGACCTCTTTTCCTAACTCTTTTCCTTTTCAACTATTCCACTCATCCGTTCTTGATTCTGTTATTTGAGATATGATTAGATTTCTTCTCAAAGTTGATTGAAATATAGTATTTGGTTTTCTAAGTGGAATCTTAATGGATCGCCATTTTTTATTCAGTCACCAGAAATTATACCTGCATATATTAGTATGAAATTACTGGTTTATACAGTTATTTGTTAAAAACAGTAATTGGAATACATATACAAGAATGCAAACGTCAGATCTTGTAAAATGTCTATAAAATATAAAAGGTTACTGAATATTCTCAACAGTGATTGGATTAAATGAAAACATATAACAACAAAGAAAACGAGATAACAATAAAAACCAAAAAATTAATACTCACATCACACATTAAACTTTTGATGAACGTGTGTTGGGGCTATTGAGAAAAACCATGATTATTCTGTTGCGAGGCTGAACTGAGTATCTTTTTAATTTTTCATTTTCCACAAAATATCTGAAAGTATCGAGACTTCAATATCTCTATCATCAGTATTTTGCAGAAATACAACTGCTGACATGATAGTTTTCAATAAATTAACTAATCCTAGCTTGCAGTTCATCAATACCGAAACTGAATATCAACATTTTGTATGTATTCTTGTTCAATTCAATTATTTCTGTTTTACTTTGCATATGCTTGAGCAACCGAACAAATGTTCACTTTCAAATGTATTTTGTGTTCATTATTCTAAATAAATATCTCTTTCTTGTTAGATATGTCGCACGATTGACCAAGTGTGCAGCCAAATTTTAAATTCAACCTTCCTCCGACTCCAAAACCAAATGCTGGCAAGATATCAAGATATTAAAGCTAAGATGCCAAGGAGAGAATCTGCAAGACGCAGTCATCATCTTGCTTGCGAAAGTGACATTATTGAAACGCTCCACATGCGTCTCACTTTGCTGCAGATGTCATTTGGAAAACACATTGAAAGAAGACATTGTTGTTTTTTTCCTGGAGAAATTCTCGATGAGGTGTATCATATACTCAATTACATTAAAGTTACACCCAAGCTGGATTTGCCTTACAAGGTCACTGATGAGTTGTTTGATCTCTCGACAATGGCCATGGAATATTTCAAAGAAAAAATTGAACCCAATTTACCTGAAATAGCATATTTCAGTTCAGATTTTTTGAATTTCTCTGGAAGTTTCGCCAGTAAGTATGTTTTCTTTGCTCATTTTAATCCATCATTTCATCTGACCTTCTTTCTAATCATGATATTTGAAAAATGAAGAGTTATATAATTTAACCTGTTTTGCAAAAAAAACGTAGTCACTTGACTAAGTTTTGATCTAGTTCTCATTTTGAAATTCATCTTGATTTTCATGATGGAACCTTTTTGTTTGTGTCATTTATTAATTATTATTCTACATCTTGCTAGTCAACTCTTGCAATTCTATCTTATATTATACTTGTGTTTTCGCAATGGACATAAAACTAGTCAAAATTAAAGTACATGTAAAAAGATAGTTTAACCAAAATCAAGAATTTTCGAACCTTAAGATGAAACCTTCACAAATATGCTTAGAAATTGAGTGAGTGATGCCAAATATTAGTTTTACAAGTTTGGGAAACAATAAATTCAACATTCAGGATTTTCATTGCTTTCCAAATTTGTAACCATCCAAAATAGTCATTTGTTGCTTGTCGTTTCGCTTCAACTTTGTATGATATATAATGCTTACTACCTTGCACTGACGACAGGCCAAATAGCTCGAAACCAGTCTGCAAGTATGCCTGTTCCAGTAATTGAAAATTGATTCTGGCCGTTGTAGCCCAAAAGGAAAATTAGAAATTTATTTTGTGAAGAATCCTGCACTGACACTTGTCGGTTTTAATCCAACACCCTTCGTGGCATTAGCCTGGAGAGTACTTGTTTTCTGAGAGGTCTCAGTCCATGAACCTACTGTGTAGGTAAGTGGAGACTGACCTGAACGAATTTTTCTTTTTGAAGATTTGATTTATAGTCAGTCTTCAAGTATATTCTAATTTATTCTCTCTATTGTTGTAAGCTCAATATTTTCCATCCTTTCAAACATTCTTAATGTATCAGACTTTTGTACAGGTCTAAAATTACAATAATGAGACTCTACCTTCCAGATTCATCGGCTCTATCCTCGGAAGTGTCCAAAGATAGTGGTCATGCTTCAACAGATGAGCTGGAGAGTGGAGAGGACATGGTTGAGACCATACCTCAATCGAACATGGTTCTGCGAAAACGCATCAGAAAGATTAAGCAAGGTATGAAGCGTTACAACAGCCAGTTGAGTCTTCTACGTCAAGATCTGCGATCCTGCAGGAAGAAGACATCTGACCAACAGAAACAAATTTCTGAACAGCAGAAGCAGCTGGCCGATCAACAGAAACAAACCGTCGAGTACGCGACCAGATTGGATGACTATGATAAGAAAAACGAAGAGATCTCACGCAAGTTCAGTAAGTAGCTGCTGGTTATTTTAGAAATGATCTGTTCAGTGTGGTATTAAATGAATTGAGTAAAATAACTGCAAAGATTGGGTACCACACCTTATTCAAAGCACATGCTAATTACAGCATCCCATACTAAGAAAGCTGTGCCATTCAACTCCAAATTTATTTTCGAAAACTTGCCATTTGATACATTTTCAAGGTAGAGCAAAGAGTGTCCTGTGAAGAGTTATTCAAAAGGCTTATTATTATCCTTCCACCTATTTTTCTTGGAGATGTTTGCCTAGTCAAAAATAAAACTTCATATCACTTGAACTACTGTGATTTTAGGGGATTTTCATAGCAGTGTATTGAGTCGTACCTATCAGCAAATCAGCAGATTAAGGTCACCAAGTGCATTACTCCACTAGACAAATCCAAAATATTGGGTTTCCAAGACTTACTTCCGCCCTATTCGAAGATTCTCTCATTCACAATGGATGTAAAATATTAATCATTATTAGATTGTTGCAAAAGTTTTGTCCGTTTAAATGTCATATGTTTTTGGAACTTCATATCTCAATAAATATTTATTCTACTGTGTTATGGTGTATACTATTTGATACATATTTTTATACTCTATACATTGATGTTAATCATTTTTTTCCAAATTATATTTTTTTGCTTTTCTGCTCATTACTATATGATGTCGTGGAGCGATTTTCGTCTAATTTTTCTCTGAATTCAAATTGAACCAAAGCGCTGACAAAACATTCCGAAAAATTACCCATGCATTTGGAAATGATATTATTAACCCTTTCGCTGCGCATAGGCCAAGAGTCGTCTCTCGTACAGTTGACAGATTTTCTGGCGTTTGCAAATACTCGTCTGGAGCAGTATAGTCCAATGGGATATGCAATTTAGGGAGAAATTAAATATGTTATGTCACCGAAACACTGTTTTATGATAGTGAATCATTTATTGAAATAGCAATTAAAGTTAAGCATTATTTATTTCCCTGCAATGCAAGAAAAATACAATATATTAGCAAGCTCACACATGTACCACGTTGTTATCGACGCGCCGTAGACAATTTGCACGAAAAGCGCCGTTGCCGGCTCGTCGCCACACTACAAAATAAATTACCGCGAGAATTTGCGGCTGGAGCAGTCGGATCTTATTTTATTTTGAAATGCGAGTTTTCTCGTCAGGAGCAATAGAACGGCAAACGAAAATACTTGTCTTGAGCAGCGAAAGGGTTAATGAACGCACTGTTCGACGTTGGTCTGAAAAATTTCGTTACAGAGATTTTATCCTGGAAGATGAGCCCCGAAGTGGTCGACATACAGTAATCCAGCACGAAGATTTGAGGACCCTGGTGGAGACTGACCCATCACAAACAATGGGGAGGATGGCGGAAAAATCTGGGCGTCAGCTCCCATGCGGTTTTAGATGGTTTAAAATGTATTGAAAAGGCTCGAAAAGTGGGTACCCCACGATTTGAATGATTGACAGAAATTGTCACGTTTCGAAGTCCGTTCTTTGGTTTTGCACAACCATCATGTGTGATGAAATGGGGATCCTTTTTGACAACAGAAGGCAATCAGGACAGTGGTTGGACACCGTGGTCAGTGGTGTCCAACCACTGTGATTCACCATAACTTTCTGCAAGCGGGCCAAACCATCACAGCATTGTGAGGTAATCTATTAAATGTATTGAAAATTGCGTCAGCAGCGTCGAGGTTCTACCTCACCCACCATACTCCCCAGACCTATTGCCAACCATTTACTATATTTTCAAGCACTTTGATAACTTTCTCATCGGTAGAATCTTCGTCAATCAGGACCAGGCAAAAACGACCTTCGTCGACTTCTTCAAATTCCTATCACACAATTTTTATGCGGAATTAATCGTTTTCTATTAAGTTGGCAAAAGTGCGCTGATTCAAATGGTGCTTATTTCGATTTAATTAAATAAGTATTCACTGAGATATTACAGTTTGAAGCAGACTCATAAAAATGAACAAAACTTTTCAAATATCCTAATTCTTGAATATTACTGGAATTTTTTCCAGTAATAACACCAAACCGTTATTTTTAACACCTTAATACGTGTTTTGATCACCAAGTGATCATCTTCAAGAGGAAGATCAAACTGATCTTCCTCTTTGATCTTTGGTGTTGGAAAAAAACTCCAGTATATTCATTACTACACCAAAGGTTCCATACAGTGCCTCACAAATCCTAATACCTGATGAAAACAAATATATTGTACCTCTCAAGGCATTCAGAAAGTAAGTAAAAATATTTTTATTTTAAGACCTTATTACCTTGAAGAATATTTTAATGAGTCACTATTTTAGTTGTACTCTTTCATTATTCTTGGTATTAATCATTTTCAAATGTTTGTATTTGCGATATAGGTATCTATACCTATATCGCAAACCTACTATTTTCATATAAAAATTGAATTACATGAAAGAATTTTTTTTGAAACATCTACTCTAATATGGACACTTTTTTCTATCATTTTGTACTCCAAACATTCTTTATTGAATTCAATCATATATCGTTCACAGAATTGCTACACAGTATAGAGTATGAAAGAGATAAAATTTCACTTACATGGAACACTGTCATCATCAATGGCGGATATTCAAAGTTTCGGAGTACGACACTTGCCTTATTGCCTCTTCAACACCAGTCTGGATAACACTACAAGATGAAGTACTCAATTCATGCATAAAATCACGAATTAGTTTAATCTACTCATGTCATCAGTGACATTTTCAAACTTTAAATTTAAATTGGCACATCCACATTGTGAACTGTAAATTCAGGTACTCAATCAAGTCAAGTACCTCTATTTCTATTAGTACCTACTGGGGTGGTATATAATGGCGAATGTAATGAATCATTGTTAGTTTATTGTATAAGTTTGAAGAAGTCCGAATAGGACGAAACTACAGTAACGTTAGTTATAAATAAAAGTGGTAAAAAACATAAAAATTTTCATTTCTCTTCAAATTACGATAGGGTTGCAGAAAAACACCACAAACACATGACCAAATAGGTCGTTGGTTTGAATTCAACTTTTTTTTGTCCTGATAAAAATCTAAAAATTGACCAGTTATTAGGGGAATCCACTATTATCAAAAATATCTAGATTTTCATAAAGCAATCATACTGTTTGAAAGAAAAAAGAAAGTATGAAAAAGGATGGATCCAACTTGAGGTAGAATAAATAACCAGCTAATAATTGGGAGTGATCTGAATCAACAGGATGCAGAATTTGCTATTTCAAGGAAAATTTTGTTATTTGTCACCAGATATATAAAAACGTAAAGTGAATGGATATGATTCCTTCGAATTTGATACTGATATTTTTTTAAAGAAGTATTATATCAAACAAATTGTTCGCCACACAGTATTGAAGTTCATCGTTTATTTTTTTCAACAAAAACATGATTGGTAAGCCCTTTGATAGAAACTTTACTGCTTTCTATATCAACAATGTTTGCAAATAAAATTATGTAAATTGTTGTTTTCATATTTCGAGGTCTATTTTTGTGCAACTGTGGATAGTGTATTGGAGAGATTTCCAAAAAAAAGCTACTTCTGTTTGGTGACTATAACTTACCAAAAGTTGGATGGTCTAATGATGAATTAGGTGTAACTGCAATACATAATGATGATAATGCTGCTCAAATTCTTCTCAAATCTAGCATTCCGTTATATATTTCAATCAAATTTCATTAAAAACTGCTTTGGTGTTATGCTACATTTGATATTCAGGAATGATAACGACTTAATCACGGTTGTAATTGCTGATGACTGTGAGATTAAGATCCATATCACCCAACCACAGTTTTGTGGAAGTATTACTTGATCCTTAAGGGTTTTAGTACACCCCTGCGAGGGGTTGAGAATGAGCAGACAATATTATTTTTTTATTAAATTTCAGTAAAATCTGAAAAACTATGTGGATACTCTTTGTTGGATCACTCTGAATGTTTCTTGATCATATCTTTTTTGTGTTTATATTTACATTTATACTTTTTTAGTACTTTTTTTATATCAACATTGTATTTCTTGGACTTTGTCAATGAGATGCAAATCTTCGGACAATAAAGTATATTTTGATTTGATTTGATCTTTTTTGTGAATGTTCATAATCATAAATAACGTTTTCAAGGAAAATTTTATCATATAATACGAGGGTTGCCATTTATATTTCAAGATTAGAGAACAAAAACAAATAATAATCATCGAAAATCACTTTATTGTTTTTCAAAATATTCCCCATGATTGAGGTACCTCCAAAACATGCAGCAACCGCTTCTTCAGGTGTCGAAAAACGTTGACCTCTTAGTTTGTTTTTTACGTGCGGGAATAAAAAGAAGTCATTCGGTGCCAAGTCAGGACTATACGGCAGATGACTCATCAAATCGATGTTCTGGGTGCTCAAAAATGCAGTTGTTTGAGCCCAATGTGTGAGAGCTCGCATTGTCGTGGTGAAGAGTGATCCGTCTTCGGCGGTTGGTTTTCCTGATTTCTTGGAAGATGACTGGCAAACAAATGGTTGTGTACCACTCAAAATTGACTGTTCTGCGTTGTTTTAGTGGTACTGTTGCGACATGTCCAGTTTTTCCGAAAAACAGGCGATCATTTGCTTGGAAGTGTTTCGTGCGCGAATAACTTTTGTTGGATTTGGCTCGTCTTGAAACACCCATACAGTCGACTGCTGTTCAGTTTTGGGCTCATACGCGTAAATCTACGATTTATCACCTGTCACGATGTCATAGACGTGTTTTGAAGCACCGCGATCGTATTTTTGAGCATTTCCTTCGACCAATCGATACAAGACTTTTTTTGAGTGATTAACAAATTGTATGGGATCCAATGCGAACAATTTTTTTGACAGTCAAATGTTTATGCAATATTGAATGTATGCTGGTCCCACTAATGCCTGAGGTTGTCTCAATCTTACGATAGGTCACAGACGATCGTGCAATATCAGTTCGCGCACAGCATCAATGGTTTTCGGAACAACAACTGATTTTGTACACCCAGTATATTTCGAATGCTCTGGAAAATAAACAACAAGTGGACGTAATTTACACCGATTTTTCAAAAGCATTTGACTTCGTGAACCATAAAGTTCTTTGTGAAAAATTAAAGGAAATTGGCTTTTTGGGAGTTTGCTGGACTGGTTCTCAAGTTATCTTTGTGATAGATCACAGTTTGTGAAAATTAAAGGATTTATCTCTCACGAGGTATCTGTTACCTCAGGAGTACCTCAAGGGAGTCACTTGGGACCTTTTCTCTTCAATATCTTTGTAAATGATATCAAAGAAAAAATTACTCACTGTAGCACTTGTATCTGGTCTCCAACATACTTCAATCACAGTTATGATATTGAGAAAGTTCAGAATAAATTTCTTAGATATGTTGCCTACAAAATGAACTTGCCAGCTAGAAGTCATTCGCTCTTTGAAATTCGCTCTACTATTGGATTGCTCAAACTCAGTACAAGACGGGCACATGCAGATATAATACTCCTACATAAATTGTTGAACAACGAAATTAATTGCCCAACTCTTCTCTGTCAAGTCAATCTGCATGTTCCCCCGAGAAGGACACGTTACAACCAAACTTTCAGTCTCGACTTTCATAGGTGTAATTATGGAAAACATTCTCCTTTGTCCAGAATGCTAATGGGACCAATATTGATTTTTTTCATATCTCTCAGAGCACTCAGAAATGATTTAGATTTATAAGACTTTTCACAATTTTATTTTAATTTTCTCTATGTAGGTTGATTTATTAGATATGTATATACTAGAATAGTTAACTTTCTAAGGTTAATATATTGTATAAAAATTGGGGGTTACCCGTTGAATAAATAAATAAAAGACAACCTGCGTAAATAATTTTAAAATACTTTCACTACTGAACATATACATAAATGGATTAATTTCAGGTACTCTATTGCAAGAATTGAACAAATGCAAAACAGAATTGCAATACTGGAGGTGTAGGTCACCATCCACAAACTCCATCTGCAACAATTGTGGCAATGCCATCCTGCCTCAGCCTGATGAATTGCAAGCTCTCATGAACCAAGGAGTCATTCCAGAAGGATTAGGTATTTATTTTTCCTTCATCTTCTGAAATGAACATGAACTTCTATAATATTTGACTAATGACCAAATCAGCTGAAAGTTTTTCTTAATGGCAAATATTTTCATATAGTTGAAAAGAAATCCACATCACAGAATATTGATTTCAATTTATTGCTAATGAGTTTCTTTGGCATATAGATAAACAAAAAATTTAGTATAGTTTCTTTCAACATTTTTATTTTCCACTCAGTACACTATTCAAAAAACACTTTATTGTGATATTTCCACTAAACAGTTTTACAAAAACGCAATATGTGTTTCGCCATACAATGGCTTCTTCGGGCGAAGTTAGTTATGAGTTTTCATCAACTATCGGTCAATTCCATAATATATATTTATTACAGTTTATATAACTTTCCAAATGAAAGGGATGTTATTGTAAATTATTACACGATATTTTGATATTTTTATTCATTCACATTTGTGAGCTCCTGGTCTTGTATTCACTATTTGCTGTTGAAGATCGCTGTCAAATAACGCATTGCCTTCTCAAATCTTTTGTCGTGCTATTTACTGTATGGTTCTCTATTGGATCTCAATTTGCTGACATTTTTCCATGCTCAACTTGCAAATATTAAATTTTTCTAGAAAGATGTCATTAGTAGTAGTAATGATAATAATAATAAACTTCATTTCAAAAAATGTGGGTGATATAACATAAGCAGTAAAAAAAACAGAAATAAATGATGTCACAGATGTTCCAAAGTTTACATTGGCTTTGAAAGAAAACGTGGATTGAAAATATAAAAAATTATGAAATGAATACAAAGCCTGTTTCAATAGTTTTTACTCTAATGAGGAAACCCTATCAAACATTTATAGTGCTCTACTGAAAGCCAGTATTGAGGTAGGGTAGGACACTGATTAGCTCAGTGAGACGGGTTGTTCAAGTTCCTTAAGTAGGAACAGTGTCTATATTAACTGACTATAAATGCTTCACACAATCTAAATATTAGGCCACTGATACATAGCCTTGTACTAGAGGTTAAAACAATTCTAAAATATTTGAATGAACAAGTTAGACAAAAATTATAATTAGTCTGATGGCGAAATTGAGTCATCCAATTCATCAGTTAGGAGCTGGAACTGTCAGGAGTTCGAATTTCAGAAATCCTCTGATTATGATATCCAATGGCATAAAATAAAAAATAGGTGACTCCAGAATAATTTACAAATCAAATGGTTTGTACATGCCTTTGATAGAGGGTGACCTTAGAGTCTGATTTCAGCTTTGTATACCCTTCAAATGAAGAAACAGCTACTAAATACACTTGGTAATTGGTAAGAATGGAACACTGTAATTCAATCCCCAATCGTGGGTAATATCAATGAAAAATAATCCAAAACCAATACCACAGGTGACGACCACGGGCTGCTTGATTACTTATTCCTCCAACATGTCCTTAACGATGGATAAAGCTTTATCCTGCTTTGCAAAAGAAAGTCATCTCGGTGGTTAACATATATGCTTGACATCGTCAGTATCGATCCTATGTTGAATTAAATCTGTTCGGCCAATGATGTAGCCCCTCACAAACGTATCGTTCTCTTCCTCTACAAATCGAATCGGGTGGCCTTGCATAGTTTTCTTAAAGACAGATGGCTGCACGTCTCCACTTGCCCTTTCTTGAGAGTCACCCTGTTATTATTAGGGTTCTTATTTCAGAGTCGTTGGATGGCTCTATCAATGCTGTGCAGAATCCGTCAGGTCCAGTAATCTCTGCTTGAAAGATTTCCTCAGTGGTGTAGATGTAGATTTTTCGATTATATTTGATCTGCAAGCATTTTGTTCTATTCAGTGTCTACTTGTTTTTGTACTGTTAAAGAAATTCTATAATAACCTTTTTTAGGGGTTCTAGGTTTGGTTTGAACCTAATTGTATGCCTACTAAATGCTTGTGACCAGTATCACTCGAAAGATGGGAAAAGTATTTTCAACAACTGTATGATCAACTATCAATACAGTTGCTTGATGTACCACTGAGGCTACATTCATTTCTTCATCACTAAAAATCTACCCACCGCGTCTAAGATCAAGAACAATATTGATTTTTTTTTTTAAATCGGGGCCAAGTATAAAACTGTTTGGTATTGCCGGAATTGTCAAAGTAACGATAATCTCAATTTAACATCTCAACCTGAGAAGCGAAACAAATTCCACAATATTACATTTCTTTCGTTTGCCATGTTGAAAGCCGAAACCTCCAATGGAAATATTCTTTAATTTATCAATTTACATTGTTCATACCCAAAAATTTTATTCCTAAAATATCTACACTAAGATACAATAAAATAAAATAGATAAAATAAAATCAAAGTAAATTTGAATTTTGTTATAAAGAGTTGGAATAAAACATGATTCAGATAATGATAATTTAACTAGATCCGAGTCTCTCATTCGTACTGTTGTTTTTTGAACTCCCACATGAAGGGAACGTTTTTACTGTGAAACCAGGCTTTCCTCATTTGAAATGAGGTCGAAGCCACAGTGGAATAATACAACCAGTAGGCTCTCTTACCACGTGATCCGCCCGAGTTGCCGGGACCTTCAGCCGCTCTTAGCATAAGATTCTCATCCAACGCGTTCAGTGCTGTAGTATCGAAGGATTCGACGGTACCACGGGCATCGAATTAATTATAATAAACGGCCGAAAATTGATATTGTGTTCAGTTTATTCACTGTTGTTCTCAGTTTTTAAAATTAGTTTCTATATAAGCGCACGCCTATGGTAAAAGAACGAAATTGTCTCCGCACTTCGTTTTGAGGTCACCGAGAACTTTGTGAATTTATGAATGAAAGTTGTGGAAGTGGACTTACTGGTTGATTTTTACTATGTCGAAGCTCTTTGCATTATATACTTTTATGACATTGCTGTTTACATCGAAAACATATGATGGAACACTTTTCAAAATTTGAGAAGTAGTAGGTGGTCAGAAATCATTATTTTCATGAGATTTCAGATCTCTGTATAATTTTTGTTTTGGGTTTGACACAACTCAACCCTGTCTGCAAATAAGGCCAAATTCTCGGTAGAATTATATCAAGCTGTTGACTATCTGGAATCTTAACTGAAAGTCTATTGAATAAATTTTTCATACATGCAAGATACTTTCCAATATTTCCTACATCATGCATTAGTACGATTTTTAAGTTTGTGAAGATCAAATCGTAAGGTGTAGTTTATGGAATTACTATGAATCTTCATCAAGTAACGGCCGAATCAATCAGAAGATATTTATCGTCATTATTATTATACATTAATAATTGGATTGTTATGTATGATTTACAATGAAAATTTGTGGTGAATATTTTCTACTGTTCTTATTGTAACAGAATACAATAATGACTATACAGGTGGAGCTTAGTCCATTTTCAATCTCACTATATAATGCTTTTAAAATAGTAGGCACCAAACTCTCAGAAATAACTGATGTTCGTGTCTTTATTTGTCTATTACAGTGGCGTACAGAAATTATACTAAACAGATGAGGAAAAAAATGATGAAATATATGGTATTACATCTTTGACAACAATGTTGGCAAGGTTATGCCTACTGTTACGGAATTGTACTGTAGTAAAGTAGTTTGGTAAGCCATCAACATAGAAAAATATGTATTTCCTAAATAGTTATTTATGTCTCACTTATGTAGGCAAATTGATGCACAACAATAACATTGACAATTTTTTCTATCTAGAGATACGATGGGTAAATATAATGATATATTCATCGAATAGGTCATTACACTGATCTATTCGCAGAAGTTTTATCATTATCTCTCAAATACTCTTTGTCAAGTTGAGAGACATTCATAGAAAAATACAATATTTTGAAGAGATTTTTGGAAATCTGAAGAAAGATTTACAGTCAAAGCCAAAGTATCAGTTATTTGACAGCGACTGTTGACTGCAAGCAAATTTAAAAGTAATCAAGAAGCAGAGTTTGCAGTGATTTAAATGGATAAAATATTTTGAGAGTTTCAGATGAATTTTTTCAAAGTATTTGATAGATGTATGCAAAGTGATTTCAATGCTTATTGTAGGAATTGAACAGCCAGTTGAGTTGGTAGTTGACGTGAATATTGCTTCACCAAAACAAACGGAAACGGAAGGAGAACCTTCTAAAGGCACCGACAAAAAGGTTTTGATAACTGACCAACCCAGCACATCAGTAGAAACGTCCCCGAGCAAAGCCAAAAGGAAAGTGGAAGAAGAACAGGTGGAACAGCCGAAGACAAAGACACGCCGTTTCAATAAAATTCGCAGCAAGCGCTGCGGAAAGGTTTGAGCATTGCCGATTAATATCATTGAAGGGCATACACTACAAAAATATGCTTCATTATCGTAGTTGATGTGTAGCAGACCAGTTTGTGAGATAGTTTAGAGAGTAATTAGAGAATAGGTAAGTCAACAATTTTTGCTTAAGGACGTAAGGGAGGATAACTATAAAGAAAATCAAAATATATTCTATTTGACACGCACAGTACTGTATCAAAACTTTTACTTAAGAGGTTTATTTTTTGAAGACAGTTTTTGGTTGGTAGGTTATCTTTTATTTTTGAATGCTGTTTAGGTAATACTTCAACATGAAAAATGAATTATTAGACAAATTCTTGAAACTGGATAAACTTTGTATAAGTTGAAAATCATCATCTCTGGGTAGATTTGATGTTGAATTTGGTGTAAAGAAGTGCTTCTTTACAAAAAATCAATCGGAAAAAAATTTAGTCTATTTTAGAGTGCCGTCTTTGACTTTTTATGAAATTTCACATTTCAACTAGACATTCTCATTATTATTAATGAGTCAACTGTCTTGTGCATTATCCAACCACTAAATAAGTATAAACACTGTTTCAACATCAGAAAAGATTATCTAAGAAATGGTTAAAACTTTCTCTGAGACAATTGTGATGCCAGTGACTTCTGACATCTTATTACTTTCTCATACCAGAAGGGACTTCTTTTTCTCTGTTAAAAAAAAGTATGTAATGAAACAAAACAGCACATAGTAAAGAATATAACTTTGAAAGAACGAAGATATTGTAGACAAAAAAATCCTCAAACAACATAGTTTGTCTCACTCTATTTTGGGTTATGTTTGTTACAGGCATTTTATGCTTATAACTGTATAAGTATTTGTTAATAGAAAGGTGTATATTTATTAATTCCTAATGATTCACTTACTTCTTTAAGCTCTTATTGTTTTTGGTGTATCATTTCTGAGAAACATCAGCGACTGGTAATGTGTGGAAAAATTTTCCTCTCACCCTTTCCTACATCCTAACAACTCGTTTTTATAGTAAAATTGCAACTCCAAGCACGTTTCAGGAAAAGTTTTTGCATCATTTCAAAGTCAGGTTTTCTAATAATCGATTTCATTAGTGGATCTACTCAATCAAATCAATTATATCTATTGAAGAGTTCGAACAACTGAAAGTCTGTGATTCAATAACATTACCGAATATAGGAATTCAAGAAAAGTTCGAAAGTAAAATATGTATTTGTGTTGTATATTCTTGAATTGAGTTTCCTTTTTTCTTATGTTCCAAAAAGAGGAGTTCAAGTTATTAAATTACACTGTATTCAAATTTGTATCCTGACCTTCTGTCTACAGTAACTAGTTTTAGTCTATTGAAAGTCTTTCAGAATATGTGATTCCAAGAGCTTCTTGATAATAAATTCCTAAAATTGGATCTACTTTTTTTGGAATATATTTCAATTCTTCAAATTGCTTTTTATATTAGACAAAAAATATAATTTAAAGTGAAAGTTTCAATTTTCCAGAGAATTAAATTATTTAAAAAATACTTTGATTTCAAAAATTATTTTAATCCCTGTCTTATTATATATTGTCAACAATAATTTTTATTTCACGAAAAATACTCTTTTTCTTTGAACTTTTTGTTCACTAACAAATACAAATGACAACAGAATACTAACCTAGATACACTTGTGGAGTTTCTCAATATTGTGTCGTGTGTCATTAGTATTGCATCAGTTTTCAAATTTGAATATATGTATATACAAACCAAATGTGCTAGGAGATTTGCTTGCTCACGTGATCTAGAAATATTTCATTTTTAACATAAATGAAAGTAAATATTGATATTTTCCTTTTACCCATGTTTTCATTTTCTAGAGGATATAAAACAATCTTATAACTCATCAAAATCCGACTTTGATAAACCCATTGAGATTTAAGGTGATGATTTGTCAATTTTTTTTCTTTGTTTACAAAACCTTTGTCATAGACTCAAATTTGGAAAAAATTGTCAATACCTTGACAAACTTGTTTTAAAAGAAAAGTTGTCACTTGATTTTTGTTTATTTTGAAAATATTTATATTAAAAAATTTTATAAAAAGTTGATCCAAGTGCAGTTTTCATTATGTCCAATGGAAAATTGAATATTGGTTGAAATAATTATGGGAGTGTACCAAGTGTCCATATTTTTGTAGGCACCACAAAGCTGTGTATAGTTTAAAATAGTCAACTTGTTTGATTAATATTGATTTATTATAATTGAGCTAGTAGAACAATATCTTTATAATATTAACGAAATATGATGGTTGCCTCTAACTTTTTCAAGATGTTGTTTTCATTCATTCTCGTATAGAATTGTATATCAGTACCTAATTTAAATTATAGCTTTAAGTGAGTTTTTTTACTATCATAACCTAGCGGGTAAGTAAAAGATGATAAAAATAATAAATTTTGGTCTATTTTCAAATTTATTGTACTATGTACTCTATATTTTATTTACTTAATAAATTATTTGTGTGCATTCTTTGTTTCATTCAATTGTTATTTTATATCCAAGTATAACAAAAGATTCCAAAATTTTCCCAAAGGCAAAGATGCCTCCGAATAGATATTTTTTTCGCGAAAATGTATCGTAAAAGTTGAATTAATTCTGATACGTAAGTAAACTGTTATAGGTTTACAGAAATAGCAAGTAATTGGCTGGAATCATATATCTCCAATAAAACTCAAATTGTTACGTTTAAAAACAAATACATACTCTGATCCTTCAAATGTTGAATGTGGTGTCTCCCAGGGTTCCATACTTGGGGGATATTTTTTTCCTCATTTGATAGATAGATATGTTTATTTTCCTCACAGAGTATTTGTAGTTCTACATGAAAACGGTTGCAGAATACGTTGTCTGTAAAAGTACGTCACAGAATCTTAAATCTACATACATTTCAGGAATATGGACTGTATAAGTAAAAAATTAGCACGAGGACCTTGAAAAAATATGCTTACAACCTCAATGTTGCATATATTTTGGGGGATTCTGTTGTAGAATTTCATCGCTTGGCTCATGCAGAGCCTTTGTGTGAATGGAATATGTAAAATCATTTTTATGTCTTGTTTCATAAAAGTACTTTTTACGGTGTTTCTCGAAAAGATTTGGATGAGCAGTTAGAAATTTTATTGTTTCAAAGATATAAACTGCTGGTCCAGTGAACAACTTATTTGACCTAAAAATTCCCCTGCATGAATCACTAGAATTTTTATTGAAAATTACTTGTTCCACCCTTTTTTAACACAGAAAAACTACATAATTCATTACTTGAACCCCAAACTGTTATTCCTAGCCTCATGATAGAGTAGAAATATGCGTAATATACTCTTAATAATTCTTTGAGATCAACATATTTTTTATGTACTCTTATCCCATATATTGGTGAAAACAATCTACTGCATATATTGTCTACCTAAATTGTCCTATTCAAAGTATCATAAATGTTGATGCCCAGAAATTTCACTGAGGTTATTGCAAATGATTTTTTCATTATCAAGTGTTAGAAGATGTGACGTTTCTGAACTGTTGTTGGCTTTGAATATGAGGCAGTCAGTTTTTCCTTCATTTAGAATTAATTTGTTCTCAATAAAATATTCTTTGCATTGTTTGATTATGTCACTTCCTTTCTTGATTACATCTGGATAAGGGTCAGCAGGAGATTGGTGTCATCAGCAAAGTTGATCAAATGAGGAGAATTTTTATTTTTTGTAGCCTCGCTGATGTCATTGATAAAAATAATGGCCGAGAATACTACCCTGCGGGACTCCTATCAATGTAGCCAATGCCTTTGATCTGTTTTGTTTCTCTGGTCGAGTTCTATTATCTGCTTTTGAGATATAAGTTAAACCAATTATATTGTGTTACATCATATAAGTACTGTATTTAGAAAGTTTGTGCAGCAAAATATTGTGATCTATACAATCAAAGGCCTTGCACAAATCCCGCAGGCCGCATCTCCCCTTTCCATTGATTCTACAATTTCACTGATGAAATGAACCACAGTTGTTTCGATAGACCTATTTTTCAGATATCCATGTTGGTGATTGGAAAACATGTTGAACTTTATAAAAATGGAAACTAATCGTTTAGCCATCTGTAATTCAAAAATTTTTGATATACACGTCAGTTAATTATTGGGTCTAAAGTTGGAAAGTTCCGACTTATTTCCTTTTTTATGAAGTGGCGTCACTAGAGCTACATTGAGTTCATCTGGAAAAACACCCTACTCAAAGGAACGATTGATAAAATGTGTTGAAACTTAAAATTTCATGTACACATTTTTTTTAGAATATGGATTGGTACTTCATCAATACCCATGCTTTTCTTGTTCTTCATATTATATACTATTGAGAGCAGCTCACATCCTGTTATAGGGTTCAAGAAAAAGGTGACTGAATGTCGATTGCTCTTTCAAATCCACTATATTTTCCTGTATTGTCAAGAGCTCATGGGTCACGTTTATAAAGTGTTCGTTGAAGCGATTTGCAACCTCATGCTGATTATTGGGTTCGAACTATCCATTTTGAGGTGACTCTGTCACTTCTTTGATAACCTGCCACATTGCTTTGGATTTATTGTCTGATTTAGCTATTTTGTCTGTGTACATATCTATTCTTATCTTCTCTAAAAGGTTATTGTATTTCTTTTTTTGCTCGTATATTGCCTTATAGTTTGGGTCAATTTTAGAGATGAATTGGTAAAAAATCAATTCATTTTTTTTATTTTTGTAATTTCTAGAGATTTGAAAAGTCTTTTATGAGATTTTTATTGTTTTTCTGGTTTTGGAAAGTGCAAATCAAAATAAAAACCAAAAGTTGAACTAAATTGTGAAAAAGCATCATTAAAATTTTCCTGTCTAATTTACTGAATAACCTCAGTAAATTAGACATTCCAAAAATTAGTGGCATGAAAATAATATTGAATTTCCAACAGCAAAACATCTCCAAGGACTTAGAAAAGGTCAAACAGTGGTGCCATTTAAATTTCCTTTGTTTTGATACTTACTGACAAAACCGATATATTGACATTTATCTTTATCATGATATAAACGTAATGTTAACAAATATACAAAATTTCTGGATATTTACTTAGATGATATGCTGAAGTTTGAGGAACTGATCTCAGGCTGCTACACACTTAAAACAATAACTAGCAAAATGAGCTTTAACTCGGGCAGAATGTCCTACTTCTGACTTATTGAACCTGACCTACGATTTGGTGTTGCCTTTTGGGGGTTCTGCAAGAACCAGCTGAGATGAATTTTATATTCGGGTTTCAGGAAAAAGCAGTTCGGTACATTTGCAAATGTAAGCCCAGGCTCACTGCAAACTTCTTTTCATCAAACATGGAATATTGAGACTGAAAATCTGTCTAATACATAAGTCCAAAGAGCATACAGACAGTCAAAATGATATGTCTCCTCCTATAACCACCCACACTATCTTTAACAAAAAAATTTGTCATATTTGAAGTGAAAAGATTTATAACCATTTGCCTGGTCTCTTTAAAAAAATCACAAACTATCCTTTACTTGGAAGGACAGTGAAATAGCACTGGTGAAAAAGGCATACTACCATTCACCAAGTAATTGGTGAATGTATTCAGTTTAAGTTGCCAATGCATTGTCAATAGATTTAGACTTTGAATTTGATGAACATAGCTGATGAGGTTTAAAAAAAATCTGTTTTTCCGTTAATCAGCTGTCGCCCCCATACGAACGACAACTCTCAGAAGTTGAGAAACTTGTGCGAGCTAAGGACCTTACCTTTTAATTTGATTCCTAACACGGCAGACCCAGACAGTGGTCAATTTTGAAGACACCAAAAATAATATTGCATAATGAACAGCTTGAAACATTTTTAGAGAGGCCCACTTATTTTTACGGATTGTCCTTTTATTAAGGGTAGAATGTGAGAGTTCAGACTTTGCGTTACTTGACTGGTTTTTGTTGATGAACACGATTTCTAATGCAGTTCACTTTTTGCATTCCCAATATGTAACTAGTTGGGACATTCCATGACAATATGTTCCAGAGTAAAGCCTACCCTGGAGTAGACACACCTAACACTTTCTCTGCTCTGTGCTTGTCGTATTTGAACAAACGAGTCTCGTGAAAAACTATGTTTTATGAGAAATATTTCGCATGTGTGACTCGAATGGAGTCACTTACCATTCAGGTCTAGTAATTGAATACTATACTAGAGCTCTATGTGACACAATGAAATGCATAGCTTTTATCAATAACTGCCACTTCAAGAAACTTATTGATCCCCCAAGAGTTGTCACTTTATTCTCGCTTTTTTTTTATTCTGTTCATAAAACATTTTCTCTGGGAAAACAAGATGATTCCAAAGAAATTGTATACCTTTCTAGACATTTGTGATGCACTGTTTGGAACCTTTGGTGAAGTAATTAATATTACTCGAGTTTTATCCCAACACCAAACCGTTACTTTAACACCTGGACACGTGTTTCGATCACCAAGTGATCATCTTCAAGAGGAAGATTAAGAGTTCAATCTTCCTCCAGTAATATACCTTTTTAGACATGTTTATACATTTCTAGATAGATATACAGTTTCCAATGGCATCCAAGATGATTCCAAGGAAATTGTATATCTTTCTATTAGGCTTGTTTATACATGTCTAGAGAAGTATACAATTTCCTTGGAATCATCTTGCTATGTCGTTCCGCTTATAATTTTCCTCATTATCAACTTCATTGATACCAACTCAAGAAACCAATCAAGTTCACTACCTAAATGGCTCCTTCGGTTTCCTAATGAGTATCATCACAATATATTGTGACGCCCAAAGATGCTATTATATAGTAAAACATTTGCCACTGTTTTGTAAATTTTCAAGTGCAAATCTCACATTGAAGTGTTTCTTGAATACATTGTAATTGATTTTCATCAAAGGATCAGTCAGTTCTATTATATGTTTGAAAACTAACTGTCCTTCCTTCAACAAAAACTTACCCATCCTGTAACAGTCAGGTTCTATAAATTGGTCTGAACTCTTGAAGTTCTTGATGGGGCACATGGGCAGATTGTTGTTGGGCTCATTTTCGGCGGCCTGGTCTGAAGCAACGTTATCGAAACTCTTGACGGATACGGATTCAGGCAAAACATATATGCTCAGTTTTCAACCTTCAAAAGCTACCTTGTTAATTTACTGACATTAAAAAGTTTAAAAAAATTAGTGAAAATATTTTTTATTTCAGTAATTGAACAGAATAGAATGAAGATCACAGACTGAATGTAAACAATTTTGATTTTAGATTCAAATTTACATATGTATGTATATATCTGTACACAACATATTGTCAATATCTACACGTTATATGTACAATGAATGAAAAATCCGTAAAAACTATTTCATGATGTGTATAAATGGGCACTTAATTTCTTGATTTAAAAGTGAAGAAATGGATAAACACTAACCCTGGGCACATCTTATAATTAGTAAAACTTACTTTCAGAAATCGTCATGTAAAATTTATTGAAAAATTAAATTCTATATCTTCAATATATAGAAAATTTTCACCCTCTCAAGCTTTCTAGTTTCTACCATTTCTTCACCAGTAATTAAAAAAATAGTTCACTAATAACATTTTGTTAGAAGACAAATAACACAAAGTGTTATTTGTAATCAAATAACACTTTGACTGTATAGATGAAAATTCTTGTTCGTAAAACATTAATATTTAAAATTCAATTATCTCACATATTTACATTTAATAAGTTGATCAAAAATTATAATATAAAACATCAGCCTAAACTTTAGGTTCTTTCGACTACCAGGTTACCTTCACAATTTGGACATGAAACACTAGGTTGATCCAATAAAGCATTTTTTTCTTTTTGAAATTCTTCAGAACACTTTATGCACTGATAATGAGTTTTCTTCCTTTCATCACTTTCCGACCGATTTTCAAGCTTACCCCTAACAGTAGTCAGAAATGCTTCTCTTTCATCTTCATCCAACTCGTATAACCTTTGTTTGCGATCTCTTCTCAAAGTATCAAAATCCAATTTAACTATATCCCCATTTTCTTTATTTACTTCACAATTTATCACAGAATTAAGATGCCACCTTGCCTTTTCTTTGCTTGTTGTTACATTCCGTTCTGAAATGTATTTGTCTGTAACAACTAAAAATACTTGACTATTATCTGCTTTATTAGTTGCAAGAAATATGCATTCTTCACCCCCACAATAAATATCTTCACCATCGGATGAGTCGGAGGAGTCATTTTCAGGTTGTATGTTGTTAAATATACTGTTATCTGCCGATTGAAACGTCTCATTATTTATAGAATCTTGGGTATTGTCAGCAGTTTTGAATTCAGATATTCCACTTTCCATATTTTCATTGGTGTTCTGAAAACATAAGGATTCAATATCTTCCTCTTTGGGTGTAGATGAAAGTACAGATGTTTTCTCAAAACCTAGTACATCTTGAACAATGAGTCCAGAGTTCCTGTATAACCAGGATTCTCCATATTCCTCTCTCAACTGCTCTACCTGAAATGTAGGAAAGCTATTTGGTATTATGTAGGAACTCCAGAAGAAATAGGGCTCAATATAAATAATGATCTCTCAAATATTGGTTCGTACTTGTGTACACATCGTACACGGTGTATGGATTGAAGTTAAATGCACATATTCAAAAAAAGCTTGCCAAAAAGTACATATTTTCTATAGATTAAATATTAATGTGCAAAATTTCGAAAATCAGTAGTTGCACCACATTTTAATTATTGCACGACTGATGTTCTGAATAGTGAGCAATATAGTATTTTCCACAAATTCTGAATTGCAATAATAACACTGCTATTAACCTTGTAACTGGTGAAATGAGTTCTCACCTCAGGTTAAACTTTTTTCCCTGTATTTTTTGTTCCAACAATGATTTTCTGATTGTACTTCGTAACATTGTTCTTTGTACTCTCAAGTAGTTTCAATAAACAAATAAGAACTCTAAATTACTTCTCAGGTTTGTTTAAACATTTATGGAACAGTGCTGATGGAATGACAAATTATCCCACGTGGTATCAGGTGTGACACTTTTTCTTCTTCTACTTTCTCCAATAAATTTTAGTATTCACGTCAAATATTTGCTATCATTAGTCCAGATGACGTCAATATTTTCGAAATTCGGAGAATTTTGGTAAAAAAATAATAATAGAATATGAAATAATCTCTAATGGCCAAGTTGTTACAACTAGGATAAGTCTCGGTTAATTTCATAGCATATCACCTATAATGAGTAAAAAAATTTGTAAATTTCTTGCTAGACTTTATTTCAATTATTGCAAAGACCGTAGACAGTTTTTGATTATGCTTTGAACATTGCTAATCTTGTTTCATATCGATCACGCAGGATTGTTGAAATGACTACATTTATAATGATTCCGATAAGTATGTCCAGACCATAGTGAAAAAATCTGTTTAAAATCTGTTTTTCCGTTAATCAGCACAAAAATATGCAATGAATATTAAATTGAATAGTGTTTTTTGTATTTTCATAATGAACGTTTTTATTCACGATTTGTTTTTATTGTATAAAAAATAAATAATCAATGTTAATGCATCTGAAATAACATCTTACTAATTTGTGTAATGTGGAAATGAAAAAAAGTTCAAACTGAGAGGGACAGAGCATAAACTGTAATATTCAGATGTTTATATTAAAATTAAAACACATCATCATCTCTATCAAATCAATTTCCATACATTTTAACAATATACAAAACCGAAATACTTGGGAGAAATTTACTAATTTATATGTAAACCATAATTGAAAAATTGAAACATTAGGTGAAAGATAATTTTATTCAACCTTCAGAATTGAAGCAAATAAAAGCCATGCATATTTGCGAAGTGGTTAAGACTTCGAAACAGGGAAGATGAAAATATTTGTGAAAAAATAATATGGATTGCCGAATCAAAATTCACCAATAATGGTTGGTTTAACAGAAACATCCATAATAGAGCAATACTAAGGGAACATTTAGATGCAATATTCTCAACAAAATTGAATTGGAAACAATTGCCCAATTGCCTGGGCGTCTCAATCCACAGACATTACTTTACATTTTTTTGTCTGGGGATTCATAAAGGACAAATTTTTTTCGACGCCTATTACAGATATAAACCATCTCAAACAAAAAATGAGATATGCATGTAATAGCATTACACCCATCATGCTGGAAAATTGTCACAGAAATTGTAAGGACAGACAACTTATGTGCATTCAACAAAGAGATCGTTAACTGGAGCATGTAATTGATTTCTCATCAAATAGAATTCATTTTCAGTACTGGCTTTATTTCCCCAAAAAAATTCATTATGAAATAAATGGATTTTCTGTTTGACTGCTGTCACCGATGTTGCTACTCAGATCCCTATTTGAAAAAAAAAAGTTGATGGTGGCTGTGTTGACACGAATTGTTAAGCCAAAGATTTATTATTGCATCGCTATAGTACATTTCTAAAACAATAAAACTTTCCTTTTTCATTTTTTATACTTTCTGAAATAACCAAAAACATAATTTTCCCTGTAAATTTTCTTTCGCCATTGTACTGTTCCCCACAATAGTTATCTTTTTTCCAATTAAATCGTGTTCGTATTTGTTATGGTTTAGAATATAGCAATGTGTTACCACATGTCTGTATGTGTACTTTTATAATCAGATTCTATGTCAAATTTTGATATTACATTATATTTTGAAGCAACTTTTTCAAATCTCACTTGTATCGGTTATGAAATTGTATAAAGAAATCTACTAAATGTATGAGAAATTGAGAGAGTTTCTAACAGGCTAAACAACTACATGAATAATCTCCATGATATAAAAAAACATCTGTTCATTATTTTAGATTCATTTTTAGACAGGATTATCATATAATAATTGCAATAATAATAACAGTTTATAAATTTCATACAGGACATTTTACTATTCATACCTTACGTAGATTGGTTAATTTATATAGACATTAATGAATAACAATGAAATTTTATTGAATCTCTATAATGGAAGGCGTGTTTCCGAGTGTCTTCAAAACAGCCAAAGTTATTCCTATTCATAAAAAGGGTTCACATGAAGATATAGATAACTATCGCCAAATATTATTACTTAGTATTCCATCTAAACTTATTGAAAAAATAGTAGCAAATAAAATTATTGTTTCTTGAAAAATACAAGATTCTAACCGATCATCAACATGGTTTTAGAAAAGCTAGATCTGAATAACGCATTATCAGATATTCAAGATATTATCCTTGGGGTACCACAGGGGACCATTTTGGGCCCACTGCTTTTCTCTATCTATATAAATGATCTTGCGAAGTATATAAAACAAGGTTTCATTATCCAATTCCCACACCTTTTCCAAGTAAAAAAGGTACACCTCCTCAACAACGCTGGAGGTGATCGTTTTCGAAATATTTACAGTGTTTTATATCGATGCAAATTACTTAGCTCCTAGGGCGCTAAGTTAAGTTGCTGAAAACATTACAAAAACTAAGTATGTGGTGGATCTCGTCAAAATAAACAACTTTTTCCTATCAAATGTTTAACGAATAATGATTTGTTTTCGAAATACAGATTGTTGAAATTTTTCATAACGTGGTAGGTTTTTGTCATAAGTTTTTTGCAATTTTAGTTATTTTCGTCTTGAGTGTCCAATCTATTATTGTTTTATATAATTTTTACATTTTTCATTTATGAAATGTCTTATATAATGTAAATATGATGCACTGTTTGAAACCTTTGGTGTAGTAATGAATATTACTGGAGTTTTTTCCCAACACCAAATCGTTATTTTTAACACCTCTGAGGTGTTAAAAACACCTCCAGTAATAATCATGCATATGATCGAAAAGACAAATAAAGTTATTATTATTATTATACAACCTTACACAAAACTGAATACTAAAAGTGAAAAGTAAAAAATAGTTACTACTCAATATTGATATAATTTCAGTTATTGCTTTATACAAAAAATATTTTCAAAATTGAGGTTTTTTATATTTTATGCATTTTTTAAAAATTGACTATGGGTGCCTTTGTTGCATTGCCTGCAGCTAAGGTCTTTGTTGTACAGTTCTATTTGTTTAGGTGTCCTCTTAATGGGCAGTGCCCAGTGAGTAGCCCTTTATTTGTTCCGAGCCGAACTGCTTCATTGAAGCATTTCTTCGATTCTCCTTTCGGACGGTCTCTGCATGAAAGTTATTCAGTTTGTGTATTCCCGGGTGTGTTTTTCCATTACTCTTTATTAGAGATGAAACAGATATCCGATATCTATCTGGTATCTGGTCTATTTGGTACCTGGCCTATCCGGCCAAATACCGGCTAACTATTTTTAGGTAATTAATTGCTATATTTACTGAGTATCACTTAAAAAATACAATCAGTAATCACACAATAATTCCACAACTTATAAAATGAATTAGTATTAATACTGCACTAAGGCAAATTATGATGAATGAATACTAATTTATCTGCAGTAAGAGGTAGCAAGAGGTTTCACTTGTCTTTGTAAAAAGAGACGTTTCAGAAAAAATTGTTTCACTGTATCTTATCTTGTTATTAATCCACTTATTTTGTTTTGTAATGTTAAATTTGGATGTTACTAATAAAAAGTTATACATACCTGTCGCTTCAATTCCAAATGCTGCAGAGATGAAGAGGGAGTTGAAACTGGAGCAATATCTTTAACATCATTGTCATCTTCTATAGTAACATTACGAATTCTCCTTGGTTTCTCTCGTACAGAACCAGTCAAGGAAGTACATGAATTATTTGAAGATGACGATAGTTGAGCAGATTGTGTTATTGGGTAAAATGATCCTGTGAGGCTCTTTTCTGCTTTAGTCAGTTCTAAGCTATCCAATGAAAATTTCAATGTAGAAACGTTTTTGTTTAGGTAATTGCAACATAAACTTCTGTGCTGTGGGTGGAACGATAATGGATTTCCTTGCAAATTCAACCACTGTAGAGATGATAAATGGGAAATATATAGTAAAGATTTGTGTTCTAGAAGACAATTCTGCCCAAGATCAAGTTGCAATAAATTAACAATTGTTGTGAGACCTTGTAGTTCCTCAATAAAGTTATTATTTACTATCAACACCTGCAACCTGCTGCAAATTTGACCCTTAAAGTTGGGCACAGATACTAGTTTATTGTATGATAGATTCAAATGTTTCAAATTTGGCAGTTGATTCAAGAGGTCTATTTTACTGAGCTCATTGTGACTTAGATCCAACGAATGAAGGGCAAGAGTACATTCTATGCTACTATCGAGTTCTAAAATAGCATTATGCGAAAAGTTTGCCTTTTTCAATTCATTCCAGTTATAACGTTGGCTATTGTCACCTCCACATTTTTCAAGAACATCGCTAACAGTTTGTATACTTCTGGAGCATGCAAGTTCTTGGATTTGCGAGCGTAGCCTTTGAAGACCAACAACTAGATTTATATTGAGTTTGTATATTTCCAATATTTTCACATTCTTAAATCTGCTGATATCAACACAAGAGTAATTGTCGACCAAATCGGGAGTAATTCGCAGACTACAAGTTTTAAGAATAAGATCTGAAAGAAATTGCACATCCTTAATGAGAGTCGTCTTTGTGTTACTTTGGACTATATGGAAGCAGTTCATATCTTCAGCTATATACTTATCAATAACACTATTTAATTTGTTCAGGTAATTCACTGACAAACACAGTTTTCCTTTTCCACTGAAAACATCACAACTGGAAGGTCTTAATATATCAGCAAGTTGAGAGACATCCAAAGTACCCATTTTCATATTATCATTCATTATCAATATCAATCATCACTATTTTGCGTTTATTTTTGTTATGGCCCACAACTTCTTCCTTATTCCTTATCCACACATGTCACAAACGCAGATAAGAGCAAGAGCACTCAGCAATTCTTGTTTCTGATTTCTGACACAGAATACTAGGCAATTTCTATCATCTGTGCTGATCATCAACATAACCTTAATCTAGACTGCTAATCCCATATAACAAAACTTCATCCATTTACGAAATTTCAGTGAGCCTTCAGGGCATGGGCAATTAAGTTTCATGATGTTTCCAAATCACATGGGCGTATCGCAGGAAAGGGGGATTTTTTAGGGATATCAATTGAAATACTTGGTTTTCATACTTATGCTCATAGAGAAATCTGCGAAACAAAAATAAACATTGGTATTATAATAGGTACTCTGTATAACTCTTTCTGATATCTATTAGCGAGTAGTAAAAATATTATTAGCGAGCAAAGCTCAGTCACCCAGGAACTCATAACATAAACATAAGTATGTTTTGTATGTTATTTAGGAGTGATTACAAAAAAATGTGGGAATCTTCCAAAGAAAGGAAGGAAGCAATCAATTTTGAAAGAAGTAACTCTATACATAGATGTGTAGATCATGCAAAGAAGTAACTTTCAGACACAAACTGGAATAAAGAGCCCTCTTGAAACAGCTACTTTTATATAAACATTGAATTACACCAAAGAAAAAAATCCTCCAAAACAAATACTTCTATATGAACACTGAACTATGAATACTGAACTCTACTCAGTTTGTATTCCAATATACAAGTATTTGTTTAGGAGGGCTTTTTTTCTTCCAGTTTGTGTCTGAAAGTTACTTCTTTGCATGATCTACACATCTATGCGTAGAGTTACTTCATTTAAAATTGATTGCTTCCTTCCTTCTTCGGAAGATTCCTACTTTTTTTGTGTCAAGATGGAGTAGTAGAAAGCCAAAAACTTTCTTCCCCAAAAAAGATATATTGTTTTTTGCAAACTACAATCTAAGGAAGTAAAAAGCATACAATTTTTACATGTTATAGGTTATGTCAGTGATGCTGACCGCAGAATATGGTCACAAAATATTCTGTGTTGCTGTACTTGAGTGCTTCTATTGGTAAAATGAGAGTATTTTCAGTGTATTTCTATGAGTTCTGTGGTGGCAATGGTAGTGGACGGACATGCCGATAACGTCTGCCCACAAATAAGGTACGTGGAAGTTATGTGCTAAAGCGGAACTCCTTTTTATGTAGAGAATGTCCGTCATTAAAGATACTTATATGTGAAAAGCATATAGTTCTGTGGTGTAAAGAGAACGTATTAAATGTGAAGTGGTTCGGATAACCATCTAAAGAAGGCCATGTATGTAAAAAAAACAAAAGACCTTCCAAAGAAGAGACGAGCTTAAAAAACAGAGTACTCTTGGCAACTGTTAACAAGAGGAAATTGGCCAAATGCGTCCAAGAGGGAAGCAACGGTCATACAAAGGGCGAGAGAGGGGGGTGTATTTTTATCCTTTGGCATATTAAGAAATAGAGGACAAAGTTAAACTAGAACACTAGATTTGCATTAGTATTAACGATGGAATTCTAGATACATTATAGCTTTGCTATTTGGACTCTGGAGTAATTCACTATCTGGGATCCGATCATCACCTTTTCTTTGGCATTCAGTGGAATGCCGTATGAATTACTTACTTTGAAAAATTACTATCTGTCAAATAGATGGGTACTATTTTGATTATTCACAATTCAATTTCAATTTAGAGTTAAATGTAGACAGCTGTTTTAGCCTGGGCTATATTCGTCAAAAACTATAATTGTCGCATTTCTCTATGGAAAAATGCAGAGGAACTTTCAATACTGTTTATTTGATATAATCTGATATAAACCAATTTGCAATGCAACATTTCGGTTATTAGATTTCATCAACTTATTTTTTCAAATACGAACATGTATTCCAAGTGGGAGACGTTGCCCGATGATTTTACTTCAGTTTACTACGCGGTATCAGAGTAAAAATTATGTTCCTTGCTTATGATTGCATTTGATAATACATTAGTTTTAACTATCACCTTGAGTTCATAACTGGTTGAAGTCCATATATTATTTAAAAGTGTTTTCTGGCGCTCATGTATTCAAAACCTATTCGTCTGTGATTCAAATACATTCATTCTGCCGTTGAAACGATGACGTCACATCAACTATGACTTGAAACGTATTCATGATGATTCAAAACTAGCGTTATGTTCGTTTTGAAATGGACGTTACGTTACGTTAGTTGTCAGTTTCTGCTTTATTTTGATCGTTATGGTACACAAAGTGCTGAAAACTTTTTATCAAATATGTTATAAGGATGTACAAAATGAAACTGGGAAATTATTACTTGCACAAATCCCTGTTAGAGGCATCCCTGAGGTTAGAGAAAATTGGAAAGTTATGTCAGTGATGTCCAACCCCCATACAAAAGTTTCAATTCTCAAAAAATTGAAAATACATTTTGCAGGTCGGCGGAAATTCTTGCGGGTCGGGTCTCCCAGACATGAATTACGACCAGGCTAATCATTTTCGACTGAGAGACCCGACCTGCAAGAATTTTCGCCGACCTGCATAATATATTTCCATTTTTTTTTAATTGTGAAACAAAATGGGTGGGGGTTGGATTTTTTTATCGAAAATGATCAATTTGATCGAGATTTATATCTGAGACACCCGACCTGCAAGAATTTCCGCCGACCTGCAAATGTATTTTTAATTTTTGAGAATTGTGAAATTTTTAGGTGGAGGTTCGAAATTTTTTCTGTTGAAAATGATTAACCTAGTAGAGATTCATGTATGGCTGACCTGACTTGCAAGAATTTTTGTCCTTCTACAAGATTACGAGAGCAATGTCTACTGAGAACAATTTGCTGACCTGCAGACCTGCAAAATAGTTATACCCGCTCTAGAGGAATATACATTAAAAGAACAAGTATGCCACTGAAAATTTGAAATTTTGTATTACCAATGTTCAACCTTCTATACTGATACTAACAAAAAAATATCGAGGTTAGAATAAATAGCGAGAGAAAAAAAATTGAAGTGATTAAAAACAATTAAAATAATGATAAGGAGGAGTAAGAATTTGAGGAGAGGAGTGAAAGACACTTGTCTTCCCCCAATAGTAATGAAGACACAGACAGGTAACTTTGAAACATTTGGAAATATTTTTGAAAGCATAGAAAGAATATTACTGGAGTTTTTTCCCAACACCAAATCGTTATTTTTACACCTCGACACGTGTTTCGATCACCAAGTGATCATCTTCAAGAGGAAGATAAAACTGTTTTATCTTCCTTTATTTTTACACCTCGACACGTGTTTCGATCACCAAGTGATCATCTTCAAGAGGAAGATAAAACTAATAACTAGAATGTCATCGTCATTTCATCCAGGTTTGGAGACCAGCTCCCCTACCCTTTTGGCTGATAACTAATAACTACTCAAAACTAAAGCTACTTATACTAATCAGGTACATCATACAAGTAGGTAATCAGTAATACCACCCATACAAGTGTACCACCCTAAATTAATTTTACAATTGGCTTTTCTATTATTTACAATATGTCCTTGTGTATGTTTAAATGTTACAGCTATATATAGAACAATTTTCAGCTATATAAAATTTGTTTCACAATATTGCCTATCTAAATATATTTACAATGTGTCTTTTTGTAGTAATCAGTAAACCCAACAAGAACTACCATTTCTTGCCTACCAATTCTGGATACGAATTGGAAGCGGCAGTGACGCAAAGTTCTGCTTCTCTCACTCCTGTTGAACTAATTAATTCGACAAAAATCTTCAGAAAACAGCTTTACCTAAAACAATTACATTGAAAGTAGACTATCAGTAGAAGCTATCACAAAAAAAAAGAGAATTTCATGATTTAACACCATAAGATGAATTTATCTATAGTGATAATATTATCCTCCGTGATCAGAATTTCCTCAGAATTTTATTTTTTTTCTAATAAATAAAGAGATCGAACATAAAAGTCACTGCACTATGGCCAGAGGCTAATGGAATGACAGAATGATTTGTCAAAACCACAAAGCAATATTTACTATGTTCACATTTATGAAATTGATATTTTGAACCGAAAATTCAAGAATTTCCAATTCATTATCGCAGTCCTACTGACGCACCTACAGAAAAATCACCTTATGAAACAATAGGAAAATGAATAATTTTTTTTCAATGATACCGGAATCTAAACCAAAGACTATAAAAAATGCAGATGAAAAGAAATTTGCTGATGTAAAAAAAAAGATTAAACATCAATTTCAAGTATGAGGTCAGATAAAGAAAACTAACTTGAAAATATCATGTTTGCAGACCAGTTCCAAAAAAATAATTCACAGTCAAGGTCGATAAATTATTTATAGTGTTTTTTAGTTTATGCAAAACGAGAAAGACCGACAAGCTCTAACAATTTCTCTAAGCAATCTACGAGAGAGACATTTAATAATACTTTCTACTAAACCGATCTTAAGCTCAGGCAGTGTGAACTTTGTCTGACAGTTCTGTTAAACAAATAATTGAGTCAATGTTTTCAGTTTTCACTTGAATAATTTTGTGCTCCCTACCGCAGAAGCGACGGCAGATATTTTCAAGGTCCTAGACGTTAAAATCAAATACCTCTAGGTATCATTTCGAGCAAGTCAGAATCTACCCCCGACGATGCTACGTAATTGGAGGTGCACTGGTCAAATGCGCCAGACTAAAGAACCAAGCACCAAACAGATTGAAGAAGAAGTCTGTGCCTAACCTTACAAAAACAAAATTAAAAACTGGAGACTGGAGTACCCATTACCAGAAGGCGATATATCCTAAGTCTGATCTTTTATTTTTATGTAAACATCTATTTGAAGTAAAATAACAATTAATAATGAAACGGTTATCAGAAGAGAGAACAAAGATTTTATTTGAGAAATTATCCAAGTAGTAAGTACCCTGCATTGCATTTTCAATGATTTCTATAGCAATAACTTAAAAGATGGTGATTTCCTACAAATTATTATTTTTCAGTGTCGGGACAAATGTAAAACAACTAATAGAACGTTCAGATGGTTTATATTGCTTCAGAGAACAAAAAGATAGGGTGTATTATGTATCAGAAAAACTATTAAAGTTGGCTAATACTATTCCTCCTGATCACATTGAATCAGTAGGAACCTGTTTTGGAAAATTCACAAAGTCTAATAAATTTAGACTTCATGTCACAGCTTTAAACTACTTAGCACCTTATGCACAGGTAAGTGAAAGTAAATAAGGCAAGTATTCAGCAGTGCTCCCATATTTTTTCTTTGTGCTCTGCTGATCACAAATATGCAGTCAAAACCTGAAGAAGCAACATACTTTATTAATGCTCACTGCACATTCATTAATTTTTTCAGTCATTCTCATCCAACCACAAACTTGAATTTTACCAAAATAACCTATGTTCTGAATATGTCATTGGCATGACTTCACAACTGCTAGAAAATAGAATTAACGGTTATAAATTCCAGCACAGCATTATATAAACATATAATACAAGACAACCATTACCCAAATTTCAGAAGTTTAGCCTATGAAAAAAGAAATATAAGAAATAATATACCTAAAAATACAACAACTCCATAAATTTCAATCAAGTCTTTTACATAATTCTATTAAAACCAATTTCCATTAATTATTTAAACCAAATTAAAAAATTGACTTATCACCCCCAACCATTCCTTTATCGGAATAATCTAACGTAAAACAATAATATGCATGACAGAAACAATTTCATTCCGAACAAACTGATTGCATTCCCCCCATTTTCTACAAAGGAAAAAAGACATATTAATTGATGAAATCTACCAACATAAGAAAATTATTACATTTTGTCTACATAAAAGAACAGGCATACCATCGAAAGCACTCGCATATAATTAGTTTTGGCTTCCAATGGGTCAAGATGGACTTTTAACAATACAAGATTCTATTTATGCCATAGTGACTTATAAATACATATTGTTCATATAAATATCAAGGGAAATTCAGTTTTAATGTTTTATCTATTATGCAGTTATTTGTTTAGCTGTTTGTTTCGACTTATCATATTCATTTTATGTTGTATGGTGAATAAATCTTACAACCTATAACCTTCAATATATACATTGAAAATGATTACTATTTATTTTCAGAGTAAAATTTGGCTGAAACCCTCTGCAGAGCAACAATTTTTATATGGACATCATGTGAACAAATCGGGGTTGGGTAGAATAAGTGAAAATACTGAAAAATATCAAGGAGTTATTGTTTATAGTATGTCTGATTTACCATTAGGATTTGGAGTAGCTGCTAGATCAACTGCTGAATGCAAGCATGCAGACCCCTTAGCATCTGTATGTTTTCACCAGGCTGATATAGGAGAATACATTAGAGCTGAAGAAGATTTGTTGTAAATTCAATAAGTGTGCAAATAAAATGTAAAAATGTAGGTTAGCATTTTCTCTCATTCGGTTTTCAAATTCTAACAAGAATTTTTATAGTAGACTATGTTTAATTTTATACACTATTTTAGATACTGTGGCAATATAAAAAAATTAAAAAGTTGTTTATGTTTCACACATATTTATTAAGGCTTTCACGATAATTGTATTAATGTTTTGTGTTGCTACATCTAAGTCATCAATATGTAGATATTTAAAAATAATTTCTATAGGATAAGTATCTCGGTCAACATTCCATATTAACTGAATAATGCCAGCATCTCAAAATGACCTAACTTTGCTAGAGTATTTGTCATCAAATATGCTTGCTGTTTTTCCAAAGAAATGAATTGGCTACCTTCAAATATAATAAGCATGATGACAGATTTTGAAGTACTGTTCTATAATGTTGTGAAATATATTATAATTACAACGTATATCATTTCTGCAAAAAATTAAAGTTGATTATAAAATGAATTCATTTCAATTTGTAAGTTTGAAATTTGCAGTAAAAAACCTCAGTATCATGGCGACGTTTGTGACTTCAAATTCGAGTAGACTATATGTAGGCACTAGAAGCTCTTCCATAAATTTGTTGATGAATAATATTTACTGAATTGAAAAGGTATCGGTGGTGTGCAGTTCCTCGGTGTATTAATACATCATTAAATACTCCGAATAAGTTATTTATGTTCATCCAATATGAAAAAACAACACGAAATAAGTAGTTTAAACTTGCAAGATGAGATATAACGGGAAATTTTGCGCTTCATTTCTCTATCTTTCACCCTTGTTATGTTATGGACTATGCTTGAAGACTGGCAGTAAACAAATCTAAAGAAATGAACTTTAAACGTTCAAGCCAGTCTCGGATATACCTACACAGTAGGTCAGATATAATCCAACGCCCTTCGTGGTATTAGCCAGGGGAGTAGTTGTTTCCTGATAGGCGTCAGTCCATTCAACCTACTGTTTAGGTATATCCGAGACTGGCTTGAACATTTAAAGTTCATTTCTTTAGAACTTTCAGTTTGCACAGATTTCCTTGGCATTTTAACTGTACTCATACTGATTGCATCATTGCCCTAGAGGACCTCAAATAAATTAATCAATGTGTGGGTAAATACATAGTTTTAGAAATATCATTTCAATAGCATAACCACTAATATTAAATTGCAAGTATCTTTCAAAAGCTCTGAATATTTTTTGTTTTCGAAAGATTATTATTAAACTTACATGGAAGTTATAACATTGTATACAAAAGTCTTTGATGTCAGAAACTCGCCCAACATCAAGTTGATTCTAGGCACATTACCTGCTGTTTGCCTTTGTAAACCCTTGTTCCGTGGATCACGTTATTTCATTTTTGATTAAACAACAAAACAAATGAAAACAGTCACTGCAAACGATTGTTAGTGATAAAGAAAAACAGAAAAAAGTAGCTTTGAGTATTACTGTATTATACAATGTGTCATATTCGATTAGATATTGATACAATGTTAAAAACTTTCAAATAAAGGAAGAAAGCAATTGAGTTCAGACACAAACTGGAAGAAAAAGCACTTTCAGAACAACCATTTCCATTAGAACTTTAAATTCTAAAAAAACCTTTTCCCATTAGGTTTGCACTCCAAATATTCGTGGAATTGAAACAGTATCAAAGTCTCATTAGCACATATTTGAACTTTGAAGCACGCACCCGTCGCACAATATTTATTTATTTATGTAATCGGAAAAGACATATCTTGGTTATTGGATTTAATAACAGCCATTAGACATTTCGTTTAAATTGAAAGCGAAACTTTTTTAGGGAAGATTAGTATTTGGAAAACTTTTGAAGATAGAAAGAAAGCCATTGAGTTCAAAATACTCGTTACATGAAAGTTTCAGGCAAGAACTGAATGGGAGAAAGTGATTTTCTTGTAATTCAATGTTCATACGAGAGTAGTTGTTCCGAAAGGAATTTTTTTCATGTAATTCTACCTCGAATACATGAAAGTGTTAATATTCTTCCAGCGCCTACCGTATCACCCTCTTGACCTTTTCGTATTAATGTCGCTAATGAAAGGTGGAACCTCTGTGGTGAAATAAATTCAAAACATTTGCATTTCTGATAACTGGGCGCTTGTTTTGGATTAATGTCGCTACCTAATGAAAAAGTTTGTAAAAATAGCTTCGTGGTCTAGAAAATCTGCAGGTATAGCTAGACTGCGAGTAGCATTATTATTAAAATTTAAACATTATTGATATTGGAGTTGGCTATTAAATGTTCATTTTCGCAATTGAAAAAATTCAACAGTTTGAAAGAAATCAGATTGAAAGTAATATTGAACGGGCGGAAGGACCTCAGTCGACTCAATTGAGCAAAATTATGATTTTGTTTCAATAAACTACAATATACTACAATAATTTTGGAATTCACAAAAATCTTTTCTGAGAAATATATCCAGATTTATGAAGAAAAGAGAAATGAAACTTTTTATGTTTTTTACCACTTTTATTTGTAACTAAAGTTACTGCAGTTTCGTCCTATACTGCAGTAACGTTAGTTACTAATAAAAGTGGTAAAAAACATGGAAAGTTTCATTTCTCTTTTCTTCATTATGATTTCCTACCACATAAACGGCTGCATCCATCAATTTAAATCCAGATTTGAATGTGGTTCTCTTCAAATGCATAAAATTTAAAATCCTGTTCTACTTGGAGTGTGTTGAATTTGGATATTTCTTCTATTTTGAATGTATCTGAAAATGTTTTACTGATGAGGATTCATAGTTGTATTTGGTTCTGCAAAATCGAGAGGAAACAATGTAATCATTTAGATAAGAATTTTCATGTGGATAGGTTCAGCGGGGGAATTTTGCTTTTTGTAGAAACAAGTAAAGTGTTGAATATTCAATAGCATTATAGATAATTTGTTTTCAGGTGTTATGGAAAGAAGAAATAGTTTGCCTAGAGCATACAATTCGTGAAGAATGTTCTTCTTCATTACTAGCTTTAAAAAAAAGTCTGAACATCAACTAATACTGTTTTGAAAACGACGACATCTAGGTTTAGAAAAATAATTTTCAATCAAAAATATCATCTATATTTTACTTCCTTTTTTTGCCTATCTATTAAGAATTGATGAAAAATATTAAAGTTCATATTTATAAATGTATTCATTTCCTTTTCTACCAACTTGGTCGGTGAAATGCACATTGAGTTTTCAAAATCTTTGGTTATTCTTTTCGATTTGTGGATGAATGCTACTTTTTTTATCTTCTTGCTTCAATTTATTCATTTACTCCAAAAACCTTTTTCCCTTATGAATTATCCAGTTCTCTCTCCAGGCTTCCAATCTACATTTCACTACATTTTATGACCCTAATTTCTACAGCAATTAAATTTGCCTTCCATGTTATTTATAGAAATGATATTTAGATCCATTGTTTCATTTAAAGCAAATTTCTGGTAATTTTATGGATGTGAGATCTCTCTTAATAATTCTCATGCTGAGATTGACTTTAATCCCGTTAATTGGTAAAATGTTAATTTTTACCACAACTATACGCATTCCTGTATTATATTTATTGTTTTTTCTTTTACTAATACAATTAAAAACACATTTCAATAATCGAAATAAAATTTGGCACATTTATATCTCCCAACGTTCCTACACCATAAGATCTTGTAAATGCCTGTCGAATCTTATTTCAAAATATTAATTTTTATAATTCATAAGTATATCTCCTCGAGAAAAGCATGAGACTTATTTTTATTTATGTGAGAGTATTGGTACATGGGGTGCTTTTATCCCACCTGGAGCTCTCTTCACGGGGACGATAGAACGAAAGAAAGAAATTTTATTGACGTCAAATTACAATTTCTGTTACATTCGAAAATATCTACCATAACAGTTGATTCAGTGGGATATCAACTGCAGAGAGTTTCTATGAGTAGCTGAAATTATATTTGTTTGGGTCGTGATACTCAAAACAGTTCACACCGTTCTGAAAAGACCATGCCCGGTACTGATAACGGGGCAAACACCCCAAAACCGGTCTATCATTGGTCGGATCGACCAAACGAAACTAATTTCTGCTTTTCGTAATGGGAAATAACTTGCGATGAATCTTCCAGTTGAAGACGTTGCACAGGTACCTGATGGTTTTACTTCAACTCTCTGCGCGACATTATCTGAGTTGTTGTTTTTTCCGTTGGGTATCTGCCACACGTACCTACAAAGTCGTAGGAGTGCATGAGAAGAAAGGGCAACCTTGAGCATGTCATAATGCACTTCTCCGGAATATTAAATTGAATTGAAAATTGAATACCTCATTAATCTTATAGAAAGCTTGGATGACAAGTGAATTTTTTACTTTGAACTTCAATTTTTTTATACGAAGTGATCTATTTTTATGAGAAAACACTCCGTTTGTTGGGATGAGTTTTGTTAAAGAATTTTCGGTGGCCTGATGATGTTTTTGTGTCATGATTGTGAATTCTGGATCCACTAATATACTTATTTTTACATACAAAACAGTATTGCTTCTAGAATATTAATGGAAGGTAATGTAAGTATGACCCATTTTATGAAGATTGGTTTAGCATAGGTTTTGGAATCAACTTTTACTGAATCTCTCATTTTCTTTTTTTTGGAGAATGAATACTTCATTTGCTTGTGGGAAAGCACCCCATATCAGTATTCCATAGTTTATGTGGTAGTGAGCCATACCAAAATATGTGATTCTCAGCACTTCAGTTGAAACTAAACTCCTTAGTCCTCTCAATGCGTAGCGACAACTTAAAAGCTTTTTACATAAGGATGTCGTATGTCCATTTCGATTGAGTCGGTAGCCAAGCGGTTCGGCGTGGGTGCTTTGTTCACTCACTCGAATTGACTGCCGTGTTGGTCGGTGGTTCAAGCCCTAGCCTGAACGATCGATCTTCACTTGCTATCGTCCAACCCGTGTTAGGAATCACACGTTAAAAGGTAAGACCTCGGTAATCCTTAGCTCGCACAAGTTTCGACTTCTGAGGGTTGTCGTTCGTAGGGGTGCGACAGCTGGTTAACGGAAAAACAGATTCTAAACAGATTTAATTTGTTGTCAAGGTGGAATTCTGGTACACACCTCTTTGTCACCTTCAGACATTTCGGATTTATTTGCGATAGAATATTTCCTTAGTTTTATTGGCAGTCAAGCATAGAACATTAGGGCTGAAGTATGCTCTAACTTCTCCACTTGTTTGTTTTGACAAAATTTGCTTCATCAGCATATAAAAGTAGGAAGATAATAGATAATAAATAAAAGGGGACCATGTATAGATCCATGCTTGACAATTTTGGTACCAGATTTTATACTGTTATATAACGTATATTGCAGCCTGTATGTCAAAAAAGAATGCCTCTAATATCATATTTTTCAAGTTTTCTCAATAATATGTCACTGCCAAATGCTTTAGATAGATCTCAGTAAGCGAGTGCAGATAACCAAATCTTTATTATGGACAATGTGAGCAATTTTCGTCATGTTGGGATGTAGATCTCATCGATCTAAAACCATAGTGAGCATCATTCAAGTGTCTACCCCTTCAAGGAAATCAAGTCTGATTTTGACAGGAACTTCAAAGATCTTTGATATAGTAGGAGTTATGGTAATAAATCTATAGTTATTGCAATCATTAGGTTATCCCTCTTTGAGGATTGGTGTTACTCGGAATAATTTTAGATTCGCTGGAAACATTCCACATGAGAAGCAAATATTTGCTAGGTGTGATATAGGCTCACTAAGAGCATCACATTCCATCTTCACTATAACGGAACTGATGTTATTTCAACTATTTGAATTTTTCAATGAAGCAATTACAGTTTGCACTTCAGGTTTATTTGTTGACTTCGAGTAAAACAAGTATTTTAGTAATATCTTCTTTAGATCTGTACCATCAGTACCTGGGATAGTAATATTTGTAATCAGCTCAGCAATTACACAAGTTGAATAGTCATTAAAAATATCAGCAGAAATATCTGAATTTTTATGGACGACTTGAATTGATTTATTATTGACCACGTTGTTTTACCAACATCTTCACTTTTCAGAATTCTGTCTTTATAACTAGATTCAGTTTTTTTTTATTTTCCTACTGTAACTGTTTTCATGTTCATGTTTATACATTTTCTTTTATATATTTCACTGCCTGTCATTAACCACATGTCTTTCTGATTGTTTACATTATTCCTGATTTGTTTCAAATCATCATCAAACTATTGCGGTTGGTGTCGAAGCTTAGCTTTGCAACTGGCAGTCTTTGGGAGCCTCGTTTATTTTTGATATTAAAGAATCGAGTCTTCAGTCGATCCCATAGATGAAATTTTTCTAAGGGAAGATGTCATCGCCTCTACTTATTCAGGCTTGTCCTTCAAGGACAGTTGATTCCAGCAATCCATTCGTGATACCTGATGAAACCTATAGCGGGTCGAAACAGCGCTTTCTGGTGTTAGATCAACCAGAGTGATTTTGCTTTGCAACAAAATTGTAAGCTGTCACGGGACACCTGGCAGAATTAATGTTCCTGTTAATATCAGATAAAAACTTTCGTGCGCTACTCGCTATAAGCTGATTTTGAAATACAATTTTGTCAGTCTTTATGAAATTTATTATTCTAACAAGTGTTTTAGTGCATTATTTTCTGAGAATGAAATTAATTAATAATTAGTTTCAAAATATTATATGCTATGGAAAGTGTCAATTTTAATCTACTGACAGAGTAGATTTTACATTCACTGACCCTTGATACAGACCAAATATATACAGGCCTAATGCACACTTTAATTAAAAAATGTAATTAACTTACCTGATTACTTTCTAGTGTGTCATAGTGTGATTTTGCTTTCTTTGCAGAAAGCTGCTCACTTTCACTTTCTAAACTATCACTGTTAGACGTATTTTATTTCTAAAAATTATTTATTCAGTAAAAAACTGTATACACTATAGGTATCCGAGGTCAGTGTGGCGAGAGATATAGTGTAATGCCAAACCAGTGGGAAGAGAAACGCACAGTCACTTGCGCATAACGATCCATCGCCACGGCATGCAAGTTAGTTCAATGCAAATTTGAAAATCTGCTTCATTTGTAGATATATTTTTAATCTGTTCATAATTTGCCCCTGAAATTTTCAATAGACAATCAGAAAACTTTTATATAGAGGCCACAATTGTGTAATTTTAAATACAGACCTGGGGTTCTTGTTGCAATTTTCCCAAAACGAAGAAATCTAGATCTGAATAAAAAATAAACAGTATGATGAATAATTAATTCGAAGAAAAGTTGTGATACAAAAAAACAAGTATTTTTTTCTAAGATACTAGAGAAATAAAATAAGTATTTACTTTTGCTCCATTTTTATTTTTCACAAAAATAATGTTCTTACTTACTTGAAGTAAACACTCTTCACTAGGTGCGTTTCACTAACCAAGTTGCCGTCATTAAATGGCCCAAATTATATTAAACAGGGTGAATATTCACATTTAGTCATATATACATAAACGGTTCAAGTACAAAGTACCTACAAATTTTCTCAGATATATATTCAAATAACCCTGTATATTGTATTATATTGCAAATACCAGTTGATTGCAATAGGACATTTTACAAAAATGTTAAGTGAAACAGAGCCAATATTGTATTAAAAAAATGTATCACGTTATATCAAACAAAGGATAAATAGAAATATGTACTTTTATTTCACAGAATAAATTCTATTTACAACATAAATAGAAAAAACTAAATATTATTCATCAACAAATTTCCTTAAATATTTTTTCAGACAATAGAAACAAATAAAATCACGGAAAATGTAAAAAAATCAAATGAGAAAAAATATATTCATGAATCTTTGAGAAGTGAATACACCAATTATTAATAGGTACAGGTACTTTATGGAAATTAGTTTTTTCTTTTTAAGAAAAGGAAAAAGTTTCAAGAACAAGAAAATAATATTCAAATGCTAATATAGATATATGAGAAGATAAGTTTATTCATAACATTTTATGGTCTCAAATCACAGCTATATTCTAGAACATAGTATCATCAGAACTTATGAAAATGGAAGTATTTCATTATTTTTTCTTTCTATGGAATTCCAAAAAAATATACCCAACATCTTATACTCAAATGACTGTTTCACAAACATTGCTTTAATTTTAAGTTTATTTCATTAGGTTCTATTTCTTCAAATGATAAGTAGGTTTTCCACGAATGTCATTTAAAAATGAATCTACATTTATGTTCTTGAGAAGAGTCTTGACTTTCTTGTCAGGATACTGTCCCTCACCAGAAGACAACTTCCTTTTTTTTGTACTGAAAAATGAAAAAAAAAATCACAATATTATATGGAATAAAAACAAGTGTTCAAATACACATTTCCCACACATTTGTTGAATTGATTTTTGCATAATTTCAAAACCAGACTAACGATAACAAGAAAGTTACACTTTGAGTTTCATATTATTGGAAAAAGCAATTTCTAGCAAGAGGAAAAACGAAACATTTTATTTGTTTTTGAGCTGTTTATAATATTTTTATATTATGGCCACTTGAAAGTTCAACTGAAATTCACCGCCCACTCAGAACTATCTGCTCTACCTCTCACACATCAGTTTATGGCTGGAATTCCTTCTTGAATAGAAAATCAGCAAGGTAGTTCAAAATAAAGATGAGGAAAAATCAGTAAACTATTAATTGTCGTGGGTCGATATTTGTTAAGCACATAATGAGTTATATTCTAGGTGAATCGCACATTAAAAGCCAAGACCTCGTTAAACCTCTTACAAGTCTCCTGTTGATTTCTAATAAATGCCATTCAAGTGGCATGATAGCAGGCTAATGGGAGAACATCATTTTAGTGTAGTGAAATGAAAATATTTCAAATTGTGATACTTGAGAAGCAAAAAAGTATGCTGATAGATGTAGCCGTTACTACGTGGTAGGAAATCATAATGAAGAAAAGAGAAATGAAACTTTCTATGTTTTTTACCAGTTTTATTTGTAACTAACGTTACTACAGTTTCGTCCTATAAGGACATTTTCAAACTTATACAATTTATTGTATACAATAAATTGTTAGTTACAAATAAAAGTGGTAAAAAACATAGAAAGTATCATTTCTTTTTTTCTTCAAAATAGTATGATCATCACGAAGTTAAGGAAGTGAACGAAAAGCCAATGGCAACGAATCTTGTTAGAAGCACACCAAAAAATACTAGAATGTGATGGCAAACAGACAAGAATGTTCGGATGTGGAATATAAGCAGTATGACTTTTTAAAATAGAAGCATCCTCAAACACATATTATTCAACAGATTAGATTTGTTTTTCATTAGATAGACATTCTAGAAGGTATAGACTTCAAATTTCATGAGAGTTTTCGTTTCCAGAGACAACTTTTATTTTCAAATGTCAAAAATCGAATAGCGATTTTTTTCAATCTGATATCACATATTTTCACATATTTTATGTTAAAATTAATGTTAGTTATTAAAAACGTTACAGGAAATAAAATCTGAAAAATATGCCATTCAATTATTCCACCAATTCAATTTCAGAACTTTCATCAAAATTCTGACTAATTCACTGGATTCAACAGTTTTTGTTTTGTCACTGTCCAGAATTTCATCAAAATCTGTTCATTAAAAAAGTTATAAAGAAAATTTGATGGTGATGCTGGATGGTGGAGAATCAAGTGGAGTAGTCAAAATTTTGATGAAAGTTCTAAAATTGAATTCGTGGAATGTAAGGAGTGTTTTATTTAAGAAAACAAAAATATTGATGTTCAAAACTGAACGGAATTGACCAGTTATTTGTGAATACTCTGTAAGGGAAGGATTCTAGTTTAATAAAAGAATATCTTGAGAGAGGACTTCTGAAACAAATTCCAGAAACTATTTTTTCAAGAGAAATTCGATTAAATGGAGTTTTTGAAAGACACTGATTTTCAGAAACATTGCAATATCACGAAAACGATTATACAGTGCGAGTCTCTAACATGGAACAAATTCACCAAATCAAAGGTGTTGTTTCTTTCGGAAATATGCTCGGACACGTCGATTAGTATTTTAAATTGCCTTTATTTTAATGCAAAAAAAATAATACAGTGTGTCTCAAACATGAGATATGACGTCATCGATAATTTTTTAACTGACAACCCTGTTTTTTAATGACTTTTATTAAAGGGTTCAACAAGTTGCACATGCCTGCCAAATTTCCTTGTCCTTCAAAAGATATTTAACAAACATTATCTAATTCAAAAAATGAATTCAATTCAATAGTCTTTCTTTAACAAGTGTTCAAAATGTTGTCCATTTACTAACTGACAATACCCTAAACGTAACTGAAACTCGTTTTGAACATTTCTGATTACTTCGCCAGAAATTAGCCTACACTCTTGTCTTATTCCTTCTTTTAAATCCTCNAGAAATAACTCTCAACTACATCAACCTTATAGTAGATTGACAGTATCAAAGAATCACCCCATGTGCATTGGGGTTAAGCTATACAACAAGCTTGGTGAGGACATTAAATCCTCAAATATCTATGTCTTTAAAAGGCAACTCAAGATTTTTCTATTGCAAAAAGCATACTACTCTGTGGATGAGTTTCTCCTTGAATCCTAATTTGATTGTAGCTTATCAACTTTTTTTTATGTATGTTTTATATTGACTTTTTTATGTTTGTTTGACCTGTTGAATCGGTAAGTATTTTATGATGATGTTATGTTTTTCTGGTCTAATGTGATTGTGAAGGAAAAATGATTCAATAAATGTTTTGATTGATTGATTATATAACCGGGTATGAACAGAGCAACAAAAAAATGGATAGAAAAAAAATAGATGATAGAATATACTTTAAAGAGTCTAAAAAATTATTATCAACATCGTACACATAAATACACACATAAGAATGTATACATGATTAGTAGTGATTTTTATTCTACATTGTATGCATGTATGTTTTTGCTGTCGATTAACATGCCCCACAACAAAATCCCATTATGGTTGAGATTATATTTCAACAAAATAATGATATTTCAGAACATTAATATCATATCACTAGATAAACTTCACTGTCAAGTTTTTTGTTGTACCACTCATGTCACATTCCCAATCAAATGTATTACCTAGTTATACCTAGAAATTTATTAGTATGGCACTTTTCCAAACAATTGTTTCTCATATGGAGATCGCATATGGTAATCAGTACCTTAAAACAAGTCAACCAGACACAATCATAAGTGAGACTTGGTAAAACAGAACACAACACACAAGAATTGCGACAATGCTTTTCTATATACAAAACAGTACCCCTCTCATCTTTCGAACGGGCAAGATATCAAGTTGGACATAATTTTTTTGGAAGGGAACCATTTTAGTACTTTTTGATAAAAAAGCCAATAGTGTGACATCACTTGCCGCCAAGAGGGTGTTATCGACTTTTTTAATGGAACGGGAGATCTTGTGATAGCTCGTTTGATAGGTATTTCAATTCTCTACCCAAACTTTTTCATTTATATAAATTAGATCAGCTATTCATGAGTAACAATTACTAGTTTAATATTGCTTTGAAGGGTCTGAATTGTATAGTAAGGAATTAACAAAGTTGTGAAAATACCAAAAGAACTATTTAAAATATGTTCAAAATATCCCTCATTTGTACCAAACATAAAATGTTTAATAGGCATAAAATGAGCATTCCAATATATAATTTGATATGGAAGGAGAACAAACATATCACTGGTACATCCAGTATACTAACTTAGACTTTGAATCATCACATATTCCATACCTACGACTATCTATATATTATGATCAATATTATATGGACCATTTTTGTCCTCATATTTGTCGACTAGTTTGTACATTACAGCCTCTATACATTGCAATAATTCACTATTATTATCTTATCAATTTCCCAAAAATATGAATATTCTCCAAATAAAATTGAAAAGAAAGAGAAGTCAGAACCTACCTTCTTGGCGATTGTGACCTATCCTGATCTTCTTTTCCTGTAGATGCAAAATTCATCAAATCATCATCTACAGGTGCCTCTGTAGATAAACTACAATTCGACTTCCCTCCTGAATTTTTAACAATAGCATCATTTGCAGTGAACGTGCCAATTTCAGGGCAAATTTTCTTCATATTTTCACTTTTATCATCCTTATCTTCTTCAAGAACAGATTCGTAAACATTTTTTTCCTTTATAATAACCACATCTCTAATTATAATTTTTGGTGACTCATTTTGTTCACATTTTTTTTTGGTGTCACTTAAATTTTCCTCTGATGGAATATCAAGTAAAGTATAAAAAGTTGAAAATTTCAGAGGTACATCAATTTCTTCTCCCAATCCTTCTAAATATACTTTTCCAATAAAGGTCTTAGGGGGAAGCTGGTTCATTTGGTTAGTGTTTGAAGTGTCCATAACGTTCTCCATGTCAAAGATAATATGCGTGTCTTCCCCTTCAAAAGTCTTTGTGTCATAAGTTTCCCTTACCAATGTATCAATCTGAGAAGAACTGCAGTCTATAATTTGACCTTCTTTAATATCTCTTTCAATCTTCTTTTTGGGGCTTTTATTGTGTATTAAGTGGATTCCTCGTTCTTTCATTCCTTCAATTAAATTTTGGGCTTCTACATCGGATGTAGATTTGTCACTTTGAGTAACATTTTCCTGTGTTTTGCTTGATTCACTTTTACTTTCATTTTTATTTGTCTCAAGAATTATGTCCGTCGAAGAATCAGAATCTGAACTGATAATTGGTTTAGGTTTTCTGATTTGTACTATCTTTTTAGGCGAATCAGATTTACGTGGTTTTTTACGAACACACAAGCTTGGGATTGGCTTTATTTTGAATTTTCCGTTGATTTGCTTTTTCTTAGGTGGGGTAGCCATTTTTTTTGTTCCACAGTTGTCTTTTAATTTGCTTATCATTCTTTGCCGTTTTTCTTCCAATTCCTTCGACACTGAAGATTGACCATCCAATAAGGCTTTACGTGGATTTTTTGATTTGGCCAAAAATTGATTGTTTTCTTCAACACTTTTTTGGGTTGGGGTCGATTCTTTTTGATTTTGAGGTTCTGTACACTGAGACACTTTTCCAGATACCTGAAAACTGTTTTTGGAGTCTTCTACACTTTTACCGCCTTTTTCGAAAACAACCTTTGATGTTTTTTTTGTACATGATTCCAATACATTTTTTTGTGTTTCTTTCTCCCCGGACACTCTAGATTCAGCAGGAGGATCAGATATTTTTCCTATTTTTTTAGTCACTTCAATTTTTTTTGATGACTTTCTAGTTTTTTCTAAAGAATTCTTAGATTCATGAATGATTGCTTTCACATCTATCTCTTCCTCACTAACCTCTTCAGAAAGACTTTCGTCTTTTGATTCTTTTTCTGGTTTTTGTTTTTCATCTTCAAACAATTTCTTTTTTTTGTTGGAAGTTTTTGCAATAGTCTTCTTGGTGGAAAGTCTTCTCTTAACAATTTTATTCTCAGTTTTTGTTGAACAAGAATCTCCAGGTGATTTTTTAATTTTAAGAGAACTTTTCATATCTTTCACTTCAACTGGTTTACTTGCCAAAGTTTGTATACTTTCATCTGAATTTTTTGATTTATTAACTATTTTAGAATCTAATTTTTTTTTGTCCGCAGAATTCTTTCTAGAAACAGCCTTCAAATCTCTCTTGATAGTTTCATGAGAAACACTTCTATTTCTCAGTGAATATGTCCTTTTAGGGGTTTCAGCTTCCTTCTTTTTCAATATCACAGTATCATTGCTGCCTTTTTCACACCAGTGACTATCACTGGCTTCACTTATACTATCAGAAGTACTAGTGGAACTATCAGGAGATTCTGATACTTCTCTTTTCATCAAATTCAAGTTCTTCTTTCCAATAACATTTTTATTGAACATACTTTTAACCTGATCAACAGGTGTAGGATTCTTTTCGACTTCACGTAATTGGGCTTCCAACGACCTATTCTGCTCGTTGTCAGAGGGTTGATAATATGAACTACTAGTTGAATAGTCTGTAGGCCTGTTTGAAAATGGTGAGGTTAGATCCACCATAGGAGTGAATGGTGGAAAATTAGGAGTTATTGGTATACTAGGTGTAGGTATAGAACCAATATCTATACCTTTGAGGTTATCTTCTAGCATCTTGGTGAAAGGAGTGAAGTTAAGAGAGCTCAAGTTCATGTCCGATGGAGTTGTTAGTCCAGGTGTCTTTGGAATCACCTGATCTTTCATAGGTGTTTCCAACAGAGACATGATATTTCTGTTGGCATTAACAGATTGGGCAGTGCTTTCTCTCATCGTTTCGGGAGTTTCAAATTTCTCTTTATTCTCATTGTTGTCGCTTTTAGTATTGGCATTATCAGGTTTTATTTGATCGGATTTTGAGTTGGATACTGCAATTATTTCAGAAAATTTTTCCTTGCACTTGATATCTGCAGATTTTGTACTTTTTTCTGCTTCTTCAGCAAGTTTCTCATCACAAACTTCTTGTTTCTCAGGTGTTTGAAGGGCTGCTTCCACAAGGGCGGCATTTTGTTCTGTTGTATTCAGCAATTCGGAGTTTTCAACTTTCTTCTTAGTTTTCTTGGTTGAAAGCAGTTTTTTTTGTTTTGGTTTTAATGTTTCTTTATTGCTAGTTCGTTTCCTGGTTCCAAATGAGGTATTCCGTTTTTCCTTAGGTTTAGAACAAGAGGTTTCTCTGTCAGCTTGCTCACAAACGGCTCTCAAGTCAGCATCCCATGTTCGGGTGTCTTTAAATAGTAATTTGGCAGCTTGCTTTTTATGAACAAACTGAGGGGACTTGCTTTCTGGTTTAGATGTTGAACTTTTTTTGTGTGTAGATGTTATTTTTGGAGGGGAAGAGAAGTCTAAGTTACGAATATGGGATCCACTTTTGGGAGTTGTTCTTCTTATCGGTTGGACAGGAGGTGGTGTACAAGTAGTGGGCATACTACGACCTGATGTTTGCACTCTTCCAATTTCTCTCTGTTCATCAGATTGTGCGTTATCTTTCGAATTCTCAAGCTTGCTTCGTTCAGGACTAATTGCTTTTGCAGTAATTATATCTGCAGATGAGCTCGATGAAGTGGCAGTATTTGTAGATTTTGGATAATGAACCTTTTTTAGCCCTGTTTTTAATTTAACATCTTCTGTATTGTTGAGTTTCAAATATTCACTGAGATCTGCTGATATTTCAATTCTTTGCTTTGGAATTTTAGGTAATAATACTTTTCGTTTATTAACTGGTGCTGTAACAATACAAATCATTAAATCAAAGGTAATGAATTTAAAATATTTTTTTTGAGGTTCAAAAGTGTTCATTTTAATAACAATAATAAAAATAATAATATTGGTTAATGTCATAGAATTACAAGAAATATTGACAGTCACAATGTGTAAGATACGTTATAAAACATTCATGAAGTACAAATATTGGTACACCAAAATTAACAGACACGTTGGACAAATGATGAGATACATTTTTTTTTCTGATTGATTCGGCCGTTACTTGATGAAGATCCATAGTAGTTTCAAAAACTACACCTCACGATTTGATCTCCACTAACTTCATTTGAAAAATATATCACAAATGTTTCGCTAGCACAGTAGATTTCATTCATTCACTTTCATTCAAATCACTTGAGAAAGCTACTGTGCTAACGAAACATGTTGTGATATCTTTTTCAAATAAAGATACTTGTTAAAGTCATTGGGAGGCAAGGAATGAAATAAAAACAATGATGGTTTCAAGTTTGAATAAGTGGATTATTCAAATGAGTTTCAGATCAACCAGGAGATAATAGAATAATTTGATGGTTTTGTACCCAGTCCTTTTTTCAAATAAAGCCATTCTATGAGGTGATATTCTCGATCCATTGGATGAACACACATTCATGACACTTACTGTGTATTTACTATATTTCTTATGATAATAATAATGTTTATTCACCATATTGATAACATTTATGTAACAGAAATTGGGTAAACAAGCGTAGGCATCACAGAAGCAACATTTCTGAAAAAAATGATCCTTGTGTGTGATACTGCCAAAATTTAAATTATATCTAACTATAACTAAAATAAGTATTCGATACGATGAATAGAATTACTAGGAAAATAAACTATATACATAATATGAGTTGGTTTAATTCTCACTTGTAGAAGTCATATTGTATTTTAGTATTTTTTTAGAAAGTTTGCTGATTAATAATTTGATAAAAATGTGTTTGATCAGAATTCTTTAGCCAGTTTTTTAGTTCTTTCCTAAATTTGAATTTAATTTGTTTAATTATTATTTGTATTTTTTTCGGCAATATTCTCCAGATCTTTGGGGCAAGATAACTACAGTGTCTTTGGCCAACCAATTTTTGGAATCTTTCTCCCAGGTATTATACATGTGTTCCACTGGTTTTATTTTTATTTTCTTCTCAACGACTTTTAAAATAATCTTCAGGCAGTATAGCAGCCGTTTTTAAATAAGACATCACTGGAGAACTTTCTACCTTTGTCTAACAAAAGTAAAGTATCCAGACATCTCAAGTGAGTATCCTTAATACCTCTCCAACCTATAATACCATAAGAGAGTTGCGATTGAAACAAACCGTAATACACTGTAGTCATAAAGAGAATTTCAAGCCATTGTTTCAATAGTTTGAAGCGAAACAAAAATCCTCGTGATTTTTAAGTTAGATAAAATGCGTGTGAATCACATTTCATGTGTCGATCGATCATTAAACCAAGGTATTTGATTGAGGTACTTCCTGGAATAGATAACTTTTGAATAATAATTAATGAACTCATGTTCGGTAGTTTATTGGCGTAAGAGGTAAACGGTAGATATTTTGTGTTTTCTACGTTCAAGGTAAATTTGTTATGATGAAACCATTTTATATATTTTTTTAATCTCTTTCTGATTTTATCTTGAGGTCTTGCCATGTATTCACATTATAAAAAATTGCTGTGTCGTCTGCAAAACTGAGAATGATTCTTTAGGAACGCATTTTCAATACACTATTTATATAGATAATGAATAGTATTGAACCCAAGACCGTACCTTGACGAACTTCATAAGTACCTAATTGTTTTCGGATTATTTTTTTTTTCCATCGATGTAAACTATTTGTCTTCAATTACTCAAATAGGAATTAACAGTTCATATGTTCTGCCCCGTATGCCTATGTTTTCTAATTTCTCGGGTATTCTTTTATGGCAAACAGAATCAAACGCTTTGGATAGATCGACAAAAATAGATAATGCAGGTTTTAATTGAAGTCGAAACTTGTGCGAGCTAATGACTAGCGAGATCTTACCTTTTAACGTGTGATTCCTAACACGGGTTGGACGATAGCAAGTGAAAATCGATCATTCAGCCTGCGGCTTAAACCATCGACAGACACATCAGCTTATTGAGTGAGCGAACAAAGCACCCACGTCGAACCGCCTAGCTAACAACCGACCATCTGTAATTAGCAATCTGAAGTCAATCTCCATTTTTGTGTAGTGGTATAATGACACCAATTTTTAAGATATCGGGAAAAATTCCGTTTTCTAAGGACGAGTTGGCAATGTGGGTGAGAGGGCCTACAATAAGCTCTGAAATATTTTTCAACATTTGCATATTTATGCCATCATTTCCTGGACATCTATTTGTTTTTAACTTCTTTATAATGTTCGACATTTCCTCTGCACTCGTCGGATACATCAATATACTTTTGTCATGACACTCTATAATATCCTTAAATGCTATCGGTGCATTAATTTTGTTTGCGAGTTTGTAACCTACTTTGCTATAGTGTCCATTGAATGCATTAGAAATTTCTAGTTTTTCGTATATCATATTTTGGTTTTCTAATCTAATTTTATCAATATATCTTTGGGGTCTCGTTCTGATACAGACTTCTTCTTCTTCTTTCATAGAGGTTTGGATTTATCTCATTTTTCTTTATTTCACTTACAAAAAAAACTTTTTTTGCTGCTTTGAACAGGTTGCTCAGTTTATTTTTATAATCATTATAAAGTCTTTCAATTTGTAAATTGTCAGGATTATCCAGTAAACGTTTGTGTAAAACATTTTTTTTTGTAATATGGATGTCAGTATTCTTTGTGTTATCCATTTCTTTCTTATATTACTCTTGTTTTTGACTCACTTCAGTGGTAATTTAATTAATATAAAACTTCTATTTGTTGACGAATATTTCACACTTCATATTGACATTATTCTCTTCATAGATGTTATTACACGTTTCTTTTTGTAAATCTAACTTCAATTTTGGGTAGTTGGTGTATTTTTCTATTCCTTTCGTTGTGTTATGTGTGTTATTACCCCCTATTTCTACCATGGTCATAGATCTTTATTTGCTCCAGTTACATATAATGTACATATATAAACTCCGAGGAGTGTGGAACATGTCAGTAGTAAATAACAACTAAATAACAAATCAAAGTTTTACATTCCTAATGAGCTATTAGACAATGTGTATTGATTTTAACGAAGAAATGGTCTAGACATGTAGAACTATCCGGTTGTGTTATATATGAAATGTACCCAAAGTATTTAAAGTTGCTTTTATATTATTCAGTATGGTCAATTTCTTTTAATATATTGATGTTTAAATCACCTGTTATTATATAATCGGCGTTGTTGATATTTTGCATATAGTTGAAAAAATGGTCATTGAATTCATTAGGACATGAATTTGGGGATCTATATATAGATGAGAGGATCAGTGTTTTATTTTTGCACTTTATTTTAATTTGAAGTATCTTTGTTTGCCAAACATTTTTGAATGCTCGTAGTTGGAATTTTTCCTGATGATCACTACTCCATCATTTGATATACTCTTGATATTAGTGTGAAATATCTTTAGATTTTTTTCCTTTTTCTACATATAGATTGAAATCTGTCAATTTTTGTATCCTTACGGCATTTTTTGGTTCATTTTGATATCCCTGAATGAAATAATCCATTGATTCAATTTTCAAGCAAATATCCGTCTTATGATGTTGTATGACTAGGAGTACTCTTGAGTGGAATATTTTCGGTTGGTAGTTAAGAAATTTCTAAATTCTGTCTGGAAAACTTCCTGAACACCGATGGGGTTGGTGTACAAGGAGCACATGTTTGTTCTTCTGAACTTTCTACTTCAGCTTCTCTTTCCCTCTTCAATTCCTCCGGTGTGTATATGCGACCGTTGACGTGTAGTTTATTGCCTCTGATGAAGCAGTTTCCACTGTTGTCTGCTTAGCTAAATTTAAGTGCCTTCTCAATAATGTATGGTCATAAAAATGTTTTTCTTCTTAGATTTTCTTTCCAATTTCTCATTTTTATTCATTAGATGTGAGTTTTCTTTTTCTAACTGGACAATTTTTGACTAGAGTCGTACTTCTACAGCTTCGATGATCAATTTCAATTCCTGTTTATTTCTCTTTAATTCTTCCAAAATTATTTCATTAGTAATGGACATTCTTATCAGTCACAATTTCTCCTTTTAATAACGTTTTATTTTCTGTGCAAACCGAATACCAAACGTGGTCTAAAATAGGATACTCCGATTTAAAAAATTTACCTCGTGTTATGGGGCAAATATGATTCACAATTTGTCACTTTTTTAAACGGTAGCGTTTTTACGGGCACCTCAAAAACCATCCAAAATGAGCTTATTATAGACAGTGTGGCATACATTATAAGGGAAAATATAAGTAAGGAGATTGAAAGTGTTTCTTTTTTTGCATGGGAAGTTGATGAAACTACCGATATTACCTGTAAATCACAACTTTCAATCGTTTTTAGATATGTCAAAGATGGTAATGTGGTAGAACGTTTTATGGGTTTTCATGATGTTTCATCTGGGCGCACAGCTGACGATTTGTTTAATTTTTTAATTCGTAAGTGTGACACCTATAATTTTAGGCAAAAGTTAATTGCGCAAACCTATGATGGGGCTGCGGTCATGGCCGGCCATTTAAATGGTTTACAAACTAAAGTAAAGTCCATAGCACCTCATGCACTTTTTACGCATTGTCATGCCCATGCCCTAACTTTAGTATTAAGCAAAGCGTGCAACAACATAAAAATTTTCGCGCCTCCGGCGGGCTTTTCTGTGTGTATATAGTCTATACGACTTAAGCCTCCCCTGTTCTCCAATGTACGAGCCGTCACTGAATATCACGGTCCAGAGAATCAAATACCTTAGGAAGATCGAAATAAATTAGGAGATATTCAGGTCGTTTCTTTTATCATGTGGTTACATTGCTTCATTCTAAACCGTAACAGATATAGAGAGCATTAAATGGGAAAAAAGGTAAATATCGTGGGGAACAGTACAATGGTCAATAAAATTTACAGGGGCTTTCATCCTTCACGAGTTATACAAAAAAACTAAAAATGGTTTTTGGTTTATCGAATGGAATCGTCATTTCAGAAAATGTATAAAAATTGAAAAAGGACGTTTAAATTTATTTGAAATGTACTGTAACAATATAATAATAAATCGTTGATTTATCAACACGGCCACCTTCGTTTTTTTTTCAGATACGGATCTGCCTCTTCCATTGAAAATATCAATAAAAGTGATAAAATCACAATTCGGTGGGTGGTATATCATACTTGATATTTTTATAGCGTTTCATTTATAGTAACTAGCATCAATAGTGCCAACAAGTTTTAATACTTTCAACAAGAAGATACCCCAACATATTTTCAGGAAAGGTTCGGAAGAATGATTGGTTGGGAATTTCGGGAAAGAACATACCAAGTCCTTTCTTTTACCATGAGCATTTGAATGGTGAAATGTATCTACATTTTTTATTTAATGAGTTAGATGGCTACTTTGATGAATTGTCACTGAACATCTGCCGTGAAAAACAATATTTTTAACAAGACGATGCCCCTCCCTATAATAAAGCAATAAATAGTAAGGATAAAGTTTTTTCGACACCTAGTACAGATATCGACCATCTTGAACACAAAATATGATATGCCTGTAATAGCATTACATACATCATGCTAGAAAATTACCACAGAAATTATATCTACAGACAACTTATATGCATTCAACAAAGAATTTGATGAAAATTTTAGACCTTGGTGTTACTTTTGATTATTAATCATCATTTAGATCTCATATATTGAATATAACAAACAAAGCCTCAAAGATGGATGGACAATTCAACAATATTATCAGCATCAAGCATTTTGGAATATGTTCTTATTAGAAGCATTTTGGAATGTGCTTCCATTATCTGGTGTCCTCAATATATCTGTCACAAGTATAGCATTGAAAGAGATCAGAACAAGTTCCTGAGTTCCTGAGATATCATCACTTCAAAGAAATAGGTAACACTACCAAAGTAGTGCTAATTGAAAAGAACAGCATGCAAACCCTCAAGAAAAAAAGAGTATTTGCATATTTAATATTGAATCGGCAAGAACAAATTATTATCAAAATGCTCCATTAAATGCTATGTGCAATGCCTATAATAATGTACAAAATGACTGTGATATCTTCTTCCAAAATTCCACTAGTTTTAGAAATAGGTTGTATCAAATTGTATAGCTCTTGTTGATTTTTTTTGAACTTGTTATTTTGTTGCATGTAAAAATCTATTTGTGATATTTACCTTTCCTACTCTGTAACTGGGCCATGGTCTGTAGAGTTTGTAAATGAATAAATAAATTTGACAAACAAATTGTTTTTCTGTTTGATTGTTGCCACTGATGATGCTACTTATTTTAAATGAAACGCTGTAAAAAGATCAAGTGAGATATTCCACTGAATCGTGATTTTTATCGGTTTACTAATATTTGTAAAAATAGAGACAGGTCCGTATTTGTAAAAGAAGTTGACGTTCACTGCTGCTTGTTATTGAATCATAATTGTAACAATTTTTGGCTCAAATATCTGCTAGTTGTCATGAAAGCTGCAGAGGTAGACAGAAAGCCGATTTCTCATAAGGCAATTGGTTTTTAAGGTTGACTAGATATATTTGTTGGATATAAAGCAATGCTGTGAAGGAGCTAGGTCCTAATTTATATATTATTGAATAGATCATTACGTTATGTTACAATATGATCATTCAAAATACGTTCCAAAATGTATATGATTTTTTTCAAATTAAAAAACAGTACATGAATGATTATACCACATAACTATTCAATTAGTACTACTCAATCAAATACCTCTTTAACGACATTCCAAATATAAATTTATTTCGTAACTAACCATCGAATCGACCTCAATAGTCAAGCTTTGGATGTAAATATATACAGCTACTCAACTGAGTCATGGCCGGTGGGAGAAATCGTATCTGCATAAATTTTGGGTCGGTGTATGACAAAGAAAGTATTAGGAAAAAAGGAATAGAAACTTTTGTCCTGAATTTAGGTGTTTACAGCTCAAATAATCTAACAGACTGATAACAGATTTCTTACACATCTACTGCACATCTTGAGGGAGGTGCTTCTCATCTGCCATGACTCAGTCCGGCAGCTGTATTTAGAACCTTCACATGAGTTGAATGATCAAGTCAGGAACTGTGTAATTCCCACATGACTTTGAGGTAAATAAAACATATATTTTCACGAAACTTACCTATGTCATTATTTGGAATTGCCACTAGATCACTTTTCTTAAGACCAGAGTCACTGAGGATCACAGTGGGCATTGTCAAAATATCATTCTCAGTCATTATTCCTGGAGTCGTCCAGTTTATTGTAGGCTGCTGATTGTTAAGAACAACAACTTGTTTTTTAATATCTGGATTTGAATATCCTGTTACATTGTTAGGTATGAAGAATGCAGTTGTTGTATTTATATACAATGGATTTTGTACTGCCTGTGTTTGTGCAACGTTAACTCCTGCATTATCTGATTGAAGGTATTTATCTAAAGAACCATCAAAAACCACTACCTAGAGAGGAAATATACAAATTTTATTTACAGTCCTTTGAAAATTTCAGAAACTATGATCTATGACTGAGGAAATCCTACCCACCTCATTCTTTCCCTGCTCATCCACTTTCTGAGTATTAGTGTTTACTTGGGAACTGTCCACTATGGACTGAATGGCATCAGCGGTTTGTTGATCAACACTGTTAGATACCGAAGGTTGGTAAGCATTTTCATTGTCCACTGCAGCTTCCAGACTTCTTCTGTTTGTTTTATGAGCATTGCTACAATAACAAATGTTAGAAAGAAATATTTTAAACATTTAAAAAAATGGTACCTGCTTGTTGTACTACCCGTTTCAAGTGCCTTATTTTCATCATCATCCAAATGATTTGATGAACCTTAAAGAAATTACAGAAATTATCATCAATACTAGAAAAATATCGGGCTTAGGTTCGCTAATTTCTTATGAAATTACAAAGTGGTATTTATCTACAGGGTGTAACTAAATAAGTGTAAAACATTTAAGGTGATTCCTCATCGAAAAAAAGATAGGATCTTTCATATAAAGAAATTTCATTGGAGCATCCCTTGTTATAAGATACAGCCCCTTAAAGGGGGTACATAAAATTTGTATAACAATTTTTTTCACAAGCACTGAAAAAGTTACAATATTGAAATCAACCTACCAAAAAGACACTTAGCCAGTAATTTATTTGGTTCACCCCATGGTTGTAAGGGGTGGAAAACGCAACCCCTAAAATTTATTTCCAATGTAACTTTTTGTCTTATTATTTGTTGACCATTTAAAAATTTATTTCCGATAGCCTGTTTCNCTAACTTTGATATGAAACGCTTCTACTCGATAAGTACTCTGTTTATCGGAGAATATTTCAAAAACATTTTATGATAACTCCACTCCTTCATCTCAAACTTCTTTTACAATTAATGTTTCAACTCACCAATAATGTCCTCAAGTATTCTGTCAAAAATGGGATCTTCCTCAGTTTCTTTTACAACAGTTTTTATTGTCTTATCTAATTCAGCAGAACTTTTGAACTGTTTCTCGGCCACCTTGTTGATGGTTTGTGCAATTTTCTCATGAAATTCCCTATTTTCTAGCAACGTTTGAGCTAAAATCTAAAGATCAAATAATAAACATGCAAGTTTTATACTTTTCACAAATGATCTGCCTTGAATTTGTAATATGAAATACTTCAAGAAAAATCATCTATTTACCATTGCTTTGATATCTGGTTATTCAATTGTGTAGACCTAATATTAAAGAGGTGGAAAATCAGACTGTTTAGCAACAACTTTCACAACTATTATTTTTGATGGTATCACTACTAATTGAAGACCACAGGGGAATATTGGGCTTTGTCACAAAAACGAAATTCGTGAGAAATCAAATTTTAAACTTTTAAAACCTTCTGGCCATACTCTATTAATGATATACCGTTTTTTCTTAGACTTTCTTAATCGTTGGTATCTAAACGAATGGCTTTGAACGTAAGAAGGCCCTAGATGCCATGCTGCGAGTCGCAATAACCATTTTTATGTTCAAAGGTAGGATGAAGCAGGGGAAAAACAGGCCATGTCCTATGGTAGATGGGACCTAGCCCGTTTTTTCTTGTTTCTAGAAAGCTAATATCAATAAAAAATAATAATGTCAGAAACTCTCTTTATTTAATTTTTCTTCAGAGAAGTATAGAATTTATCCGCAGCCGGATTCATGCAAAACCTTTTGAGCTTTTGAAGATCTTTATACTTGGCTGCTTTGATAGGAATCCTGCCAAAATAAGCTCGTGGTGGTAAATAAAATTCGCCTTCTTTCAGTCCATCCTTCACACCACTCAATGGCAAGACAGAACTATCGAAATGGCCGGAGTATGTTTGCTTTAAAAACACGAGGCGAGGATGTTTCTTTTCAGTCTGGAAGATCCTGACAGTTCTGGTACCGAAGGGGCATTTTTTTTTGTATCTAGGCTCTAGAAAGTTGGTCCAAGCCCGGAATTTTTCTTGTCGAAAGTTGACAACTTTGAACGGTTTGGGATTCGTCCTGGCATTTCTAAATACTTCACGCCAATCCTTTGGTAGCTCACATGGAGATTTTTGGTTAATCAGACCCATGTTCTTATCAGGTTCCATATAAGAGTGCCCCCTTATGGGAAACGTAACCTCAATGTAGTCAAGCCGTTTCTCCATGTGCACAATGTAATGCATTAATCGGAACAGTGTGTAATTCTTGTTTTGTCCACCGCAGCTGTCACAGAAAATAAGCAATTTTCTTACAGACGGCTTGAGGAAGTTGTGTATAAAGTCATGAAGCATAGATGCTACGTTATCAGCCCCTTTTTTCCCCTCCCTTCAGGATACGTGTAGAAAACACTTTCGTTGTCTGATAGCTGGTGTATATTAAACGAATAAAAAGAAAGCTGCCTCGTATAATAAACATCGCTAGTGGTGACATTGGGAAGTGGTAAATTTTTCTGGTAGTCCATTGCAATAGCTTCAGTATCAGAAGTAGTGCGGCTGAGGAGTTTAGCCTTCTTTTTTAGTTCATAAAAACGGCTTGCTCTTGCTAAATGGACTTGTGAATCAACCTTCAGCGTGTTAAGCTCATTTTCCACTTTTAGACCTTTCGTTAAATCTGCTTCTAATGCGCTAATTTTTGCCTTAGTTTCGTCACAGAAACTGCACGTATCTGTGCGTGGGTAGCCGAACGAGATATTAAGTTTTTCACAAAGTTTGACCTGTACGATTCATATGATACAGCCAAACCTGGATTTTTCTCCATGTACATGAGATGCATCTTCTTCACGTTTAGCTCCTCAGGAAGAAAGATCTTAGAAGTTTTCTGAAGGCTGTAGTGAGCATTTCGTCCTTTGAAGGAAGCGATATGATTCTTTACAGCAGCCACCTTTGCTTCACTCAACTTGTGCGGTCTGTTTTTGTGTTTTCCACGACCATCGGTAGGAGCCTGTCCCTCAAGTTTCAGTGACATGACGATGTGCTCTATGCGCCTCTTTGTTATTCCGTGCAATGAAATAAATGCCTTGCGACAGACTGGGACGTCTTCATATTTTCCGTCACGCATGACGCGAGCCCTAAAAATGAACACCAATATTTTATTTCAACGGAATTCTGCTGAATTATGGCCTTTATCTCCTCTCATTAACATAATTTAGAGTGGTTTATAACAAAACTGGACTATTTCACTCACCTATAACGGTAGGTTGCTTCATGAAAATCAGCAACAGCCTCGGATTGATGGGGTCGCCTTCTAGCTACATGCAGAACTGTGATGAGCCCTGTTAGGTACAAACTTTGTTCATCATACGTTCCCAGGGCATCAAAATACTTAATTGTTGCTTTCCTGTCTTCGTCTGTAATATTGGTAAAACAATTCAGCCTCTTGCACTTGCAATCATCTCCAGTAATATGAGATTGCAGCCTTAGACGCTTGGCTACGTCTGTGAGTCTACCAAACGACTGTCTCTTCTTTGTTGCTTTTCTAACACTTTTATCAATGTCACACTCCATTCTCAATCAGTTAATTAAGTTGAAATAATAATAATAATAATAACAGCTTACAAATGCGTTCAAAGTTCACGAACAACGCAGAACGACTCTTGTAAACAACAATGGCAGAGTTAACGCTCAAGCGCACACATATCACATGGTCGGACTCAGCCCATTCTTCCCCTGTGCCGGTGGACTAAGCCACCTTTTTCCCCTGAGCATCGTTTTTTCCCACGCTACTATCTCGGAACCTAGCTCGTTTTTAGCCAGTTCTTCACAGCTAAACGATAGAGTCGCAGTTTAGCTACAAAACGGCATGGATAACTCAAAAATAATTTGTTTGTGACTAAGCCCGATATTCCCCTGTGGTCTTCAATTATATAATAAAAAATTTTAAAAAAAATCACCTCTGAAACATCTTCCTTTTCCATAAGAGGTGAGCGGTTAGTAGTACCCATTTTAGCATATTTTGACTGGGTCTTTCGTCTAGAACTCTTGTTAGTGTACGATTCTTTACTCTCATATTGAATATTTCCAGGTAAAGTATGAGCAGGTGTTGCTTCCACATCACTTATGTGTTCTATGTAAGACGGGCTAGTTTCACCCAAATTAGAATCTGAAGGTGATCTGAAATGAAACATGTCAAACGTTTATGATAAACTAGTATTAATAAATATAACTAAAATAATAAACATATATGCAGAAAATGTACCTAGGACAAGGTGTAGAAGTTCTGCTTAGCTGCACTTTATTCAACAAATATAACAATTGTTGAACCAAAGATGTTCTCGAGTGACCTTCATTATAATAATCTGTAGGTTCCAATCTGCCCTGAACTGAAAAAATGACAGTTACTCGTAAAATAACACAAATATTCTTAAGGCCTAATTACCAATTTGAGATATCTCAAAATACTCTGAAAGAATTTCTTCCAGCGTCAAACCAATGAATCGTGTAGATATATACTTGTTGCTTCTATTTGAACTGTGTTCTCCTAAAGGTCCCGAAGTCCTCAGGAATTCATCATATGCCTTTCTACAGTGTTCTCGCTTCAAATAACCTAGGAATATTTAAAAGTCAATAGTATCATAGAAAGTTTCACTCACTACAGGTAATATGTTTAGCAAAATAAAAATGTATTTATTCATTATTCACAGATTGAAAACCATTATAGTGAGACAACTGCTATTTATGAACAAAAATATTTTACTAATACTACTATCACTGAAACTGAAAAGTTAATAGATAAATATTGAAATAGATATTATTTAATGCAAAAAAATTTGTCTAATCTAGAGTTTCTATTACAAGCTTTGTTAACGGTTGTAAACAAAATGTGCAAAAAGACAAGACTTGTTTATTGTAAGTTCAGAAACGTATGAGTTTGCATTAGAGATAGTACATATCCTGACAGACGTTGTTTCTCAGATATACTGAAGTAGGTCATCAATGTTGATAGAGGCAGGATCTAAACACTTCCAATGATAAAATAATTTCACCTTCAACCCACTAAGAATAGCTGACCTAATAACTTTATGAAGAACTGTAAATATTCTCACGTCAATTGTAGGTGTGCTCTTCTTATATCAAGTTTTGTTTTTCACTTAGTCTCCAGTGAACTTTTTTCTTAATTTCCTGAATTCGTTATACTACATCTTAGTTTAATATGTGTTAGTTTCAATTGGCAAGTTTTCTCATAAATTTTACAATTTCTTTAACCTTCCAGAGGTGGCGTACGGTTTTGCTAACACCAGGTTGGCACTGTATTTATAAATTTATGAAAATTTGAAAAGTGAAATGAACTTTCACAATTAATACCTTTGTACATATTCCTTATCTTGTTCAAGTGTCAGTTTTACCAGTGGTGTGTTTGAATTCTAGTGACTACAGTGAAAACAGATCTGTGATACCTATTGATGATATAGTTTTTTATTGAATGATAATCTATGATAATTTAATCAGGGAAATCGATTTTTTCCTTAAACACTCATTTACAAATCATTAAAGTTAAAAGTTATTACCAAAAAGAACAAGAGAGGTAGAAGCTGTTGGAGGCAACGGTAGATGATCGGACTGCCTGGCAGGCAGAAACAAACAAACATGGAACATACATCTGTTCATCAATTCTGCCCTGAAAACTATCTACAAGTTTAGAAGTGCTTTACTAATTTTTTTTAGCAATAATTCATAAAGTTTAGTTTGGTATGTTCTAAATGTTTTGTATCTGAAGTTAAGTTCCAAAATATTAAGGAATGAATATGTTACCATCACCGTTGATAGTTTATCTACAGCGTTTGAGATATTATCTGAATATAAACAAACCTTAGATTAAGTAAAAAGAATATTTGAAGAAGAGAACAAGATACACAATAGACATATTAGTGACGAACTACAAAGTGCATCCTTCTTTAATGAAAGTGGAGACAAGAAAAACCTAGAATCCAAACCATTTAACTTCAATTGCTACCGATGCGGAGTCAGAGGCCATACAATGTCAGAATGCAAATACAAGGGTCACTTCAAAAATCAGAAAAGAAATTATAGAAGTGTTAACTCTAGTGAAGCCAAGCAAATGAGCGAAGAAAATGAAGATTGTGCAAAGGGAACCGTGGCTAGTATTGCTTTCCTCACATCAGAAGAAACAACTAAAAATGACGAGAAGAAATTAGTATCATTTTTCATTGACTCAGGAGCAATAAATCATCTGATTAACAATGACAGATTCTTTTTCGTTGCGAAGGTACTATAGTGAAACCAATTCCGATATCAGTCGCGAAATCAGGACAATCATTATCAGCAACAAAAATTGGTCAAATCAAAGTGAAACAAGGAAATTTAGACATGACAATTAAAAAACATGCTTTTTGTTCCTGATATGTAATAATGATAAGTAATAAAGTAGATTTTATTTATAAGCAGAATTTCTCTGATGACAATTCAATGGCTTTCAGAGACTTCTTGATAAATGAACAATGGGAAGAAGTAGACAAAGGCACTGATGTGAATGAATGCTTCAATGCATTCTACTCAACTTATCAATTCCATTATCATAATGTGTTTACATTGAAAAGACTAAAGGATAGGAATAAAGGAAATAAGGATAAACCATGGATATCTAAAGAAATTAAACATCTACATCAAATGGTATGTGTAAAATAGCCAAGTCCACTGGCAATGAAATTATCATTCAAAGATATAATCAACTCAAGTACAGGTATAACGAAGTAATAAAACAAGCTAAATCGGGGTACAACAACAAAATAGTTACTAGTACAAATAATATAAGTAAGGAGAGTTGAAAAATTATAAATGAAAATAGATGTAAAATGAAAAATGAAGAAACTTCAGAACTGGTCATTGATAACAATATAATCTCAGATAAAACAACCATTGGTAATCTTTTCAATAATTTTTTCATGGACATTAAAATTACGGAACCAAACAAAAACAACCTTAAATTATCGCCATTCTCATATGACAGTCTATTTTTATATTCAACTTCGCATTTTGAAGTTCAAGAAATTATTAAAAAAACTACTCAAACTTCAGCTCCAGGAACTCAAAGTTGTTAGCGTCATTATTTGTCACCCTTTATCATTCATAATAAATAAATCTTTTTATGACGGAACATACCCAGATTCACTTAAAATATCGAAATCTATACCCATATATAAAAACAAGGGATCTAAAAATTATATGAATAACTATAGGAATGTATGTGTGCAATCACAATTTGCTAAAGTAATTGACTATGGCTACTATTTGAGATTGAATAAATTCGTTGAGTATCATAAACTTATTCCACACTGTCAACATGGTTTCAGACAACAAAGATCAACATCATCTGCAATTTATGAATTATGTGAAAACATCTACAATAATCACAATAATAAAAAATATCCAATCGAATTATTCTTTGATTTAACCAGGGCTTTCGATACAGTTGACCATGCCCTGCTGCTTGAGAAACTGAATCGAATGGGAATTCGAGGAGTGGCTAATGAATGGGTAGCCTCCTATTTAAAACAATGGTCGCAAATAGTAGTTATAGACTCAATTAAATCTCAACCTGCCCCTGTTTCAATAGGAGTCCCACAGGGTTCAACCTTGGCTCCACTTTTCTTTATAATATTTATGAGCGATATAGGGTATTCATGTGTATCTTATAAAAAAATGTATCCCTCTTCACAAAACAAAATATGATACATGCATACAACACTCGTCGGGGTTATGAACTGAGGCTACCCTACCATTCAAAATAAACCAAGAAGTAGGCCATTGGAGATCATTCTGTGATATTTGTGGACCAATCACACCTTCAACCTGGGATGGACATAACTATTTCATTACGTTTAATGATGATTAAACTCATTTTACAATTATTGTATATTTGCTGATAAATAAAAATGAATTTTTGAAGTATTTTAAAATTCATGAAGCACTAGTAACAAGCAAATTCTCATTGAAAATTGCAGTCTTAGAGTAGATAACGGTGGTGAATATAAATCAACAGCTCTCAAAGTATTTTGTGAAAAAAAAGTGAGTCAAATGATCTGAACGATGAGATATACACCTCAACAAAATGGTGTTGGCTTAAAGAATGAATAGAATACTTCCTTGATAAGGCAAAAACAATGATATTTGATGACAAAATGAAGAAAGAAATGTGGGGAGAAGCAGTTTTCGCAGTAACATATTTAACAAACAGAAGTTTAAACACGATGCCTAAAAAAAACTCCAGCAGAAATGTGGACAGGAATTAAACAAGATTTGTCTAAAATAAAAGTATTTGATTCCAAGGCCTTTGTTCAAATAAGTAACAAAATTAGATGACAGAAGTGACATATGTACAATTGGTTATGGCGAAAATGGTTATCGCCTGTGGAATGAACATGAAAGGAAGGTTTTTCTATCAAGGGATATGATTTTTGACGAGAAGCGTCCTCAAATCGAAAACCTAAATGTTGAACATTAAATAAAAAATGATCAAAAGAAAATTCAAATTGTACATAACCTTTTTGAATTAAGCAAATGACACCGATAGAAAATCAACTTCTAGTTATTTATTCAAATTATTTGGAAATCTGATTTCTTGGACAACAAAGAAACAACTATGTTTCACTTTCAACTACTGAAGCTGAGTACGTTGCTGCTTGTGAAGGAATTTGGTTGAAAAATTTGATAACTGACAGGAGAATATATTTTTGTAGTCCTTTACAAATATTTGAGGACAATCAGGGATGTATTCAACTTTCCAAGAGTCCGATACAAAATGGTCCAAACATATTGATATCAAATATCATTTCATCAGAGAAAAAATAATAAACAGAGAAATAGAGCTGAGATATGTGGAATCCAACAGGCAAGAAGCAGATATACTGACGAAAGGACTGATAATGCTAATTTTTACTCTTGCAATAAGTTTTGGTATTATCATTTGGGGCTCCAGTCATGAGCTGAGCAGAGTATTTCTCTGCCAAAAAAGGGTAATCAAAATAGTTTTTGGTATAAAGGTCAAAGATTCATGTAGAGGAATCTTTGAAATGAACAAATTATTAACAGTACTAGCGATATACATTTTTGAGTCATTAACATATTTAGCAAATCAATCAAGCTACTTTGAAAAGCATCATAGAACACATTAGTATGGAACAAGATTTGAGAATGATTTTTTATATCCGATACATAAGAAACTCTATATAAAAGAAGTATTGTCTAAAGTGCGAATACATTTTTTAATTCTCTCCCATAGGATATAAGAGACATTGGGATGGCCAGCGGTTTTCTGAAGTCTGTGAAAGAATTTTTATGCAATACAGAGCTTTATACTATAGATGAATATTTTAACAGTTTGTGTTAAATTTTATTTTATCAACTCTATACTTATATGTGTATGTGACGTGTTGTATTCAAATTTTGTATCTTATTACTCTTCACTGACGTATTTCTCGGACAAAGTATTTCTTTTAACTTTTATACAAGATTTACATATACTCTGTAGAAATAAATGATTATCTATCTATCTATCTATCTATGTTATTCAGGTGGAATGTTGAGGGATGAATTTGAGAACATCATTCAGTTTAGTTGATTTATAATTTTATTTAGATGACTTTTTAAAATATAGGAAAATTTGTGTTAGTTCCGGAAATTAAAAAAAAAATCTCGTTGCCACTTTTCAAGCTGTACCAGATGAAGTTCACAGATTTTTAATCAGAGAAACCATCATCAATTTTCATTTTTTTATATCTACACCCTGTGTTGTAAGTTAACATTTTCACTAACAAAAGTTAAAACTGGAACCTCTGGCGCCTGAAGACGCAAGTTGGTTGGTGAAAAACGCGTCAAGTACTGGTTTTGGATAACTTCACTGATGTTTTATAATCATTTAATTAGTAAATTTCAACACATTAAAAAGCAACGATATGAACTTTATCTCAATTCAACTGCCTTTGTATCCCTTAAAGTTTTCGATGAAATCATGGTGGCCCTCCTTATCTCCGGCACTTGTATATTTGTATACCATACCACGAGCTTGCGTGCCTGTACATCTCATTATTATTAGAAATATGTTATAAATGTAGATAGGATCAGTTTCTTAGAGGTAAACATTAGCAAATCTTGTCGATGCTTGGGAATTAATTTTATTACAATTGTTTCCAAAGAAATCCATTAAACCGTACTTCAGTCTATGAGGGATTGGTTCGGTACATTAGAATGTGTGGCAGAGGTTCCGCATACTTATATTAGAAAATCCGGGAGCCTAGGGCAGTTACCCCACTCGCCACCAAATTGGTTCAAAGAATATTTCATCAATTTCAAAATATTAGGAAGAACTCTTATTTATATAAAACTGCAGGGTCATGACTTTATAAATTTATTAATTGGTGCCATAATCTTAATGAAACCAAGTATTGAAAAAATATGAAATTTATCTAAAAGTGAATAAACTATCACGAAGCAGTGATTCTTGGTAATAAACATAAAGTATGTAGGTATATAACTTGGCATCGAGTATGGCAAGATTGATTGGGTCACTTATTTATACAATTCACTAACAGTGAGCTCTCATGGTAATTACATTTGCAAAAAAAAACTAACAACTAACCCTATCCAAGTTAGCATCAGGAGATGCCTTTCTTGATGATGTTAACTTGTTAAGTGAAACAGGTGTCAAGAGACAATACTTTTGTTCTGTTTGTTCAAAAATCAGCTCAAAAACATGTAATGTCTTAGAATATTCAATTTTCTTCTGTTTATCTTTCAGATTTATAAACAAATTTATATATTTATGTTCATACACTTAATTTTAAGAATAATTTTTTAATGAGGGCAAATTTTTTCTATATTTATTATAATTATCAAGATGCAATGTATATTAGGAATTCCCACTTATAATTTATTGAAAAACTCCACATAAAGCAATTAATGACAGTATCAATATAAATTGAAATGTCACTCACAAGGAATACATTAATTCATCTAGGATTTCAAGAATTAGTATTTGTTTTTCACTTCTGGAAAACAATATTCTCTGATAGAATTTCTAAAATAATTGAAATTTTCATGGAGAGTTTGTATTGATATTTGTAATGCTTTTCTTTCTCAAGTTTTTTTTTCAAGGAAATTATTAAAGTTTGACTAATCAATCATTAGAAAAAGATAATTTGGAATAGTATATTTACACCTGGAGAAAGAGTTGGTTTTGTTTATGTTATACAAGCCAGGGGAAGGCTTCTCGAATACCTAATCAGTAATATCCATACTTCCCGCCAACTGCGTACCCACCTAAAACAAGTCTAGCTATTGTCACATCTATGGAGTCCATCGTTTACAGCTTTTATTTGATAATTTCGACCAAGAAGAAAAATACACTTGAGATCCTAAAAACAGAGGAACACGATTTTCAACACCACTTTACTTCATAATTTATATTTTCAATTATCCAAATGTAACAAATGTAAATTTCAGCACCCCTGACACAGATCCCCCGATAACTCATAATAAGAGATATAACCAAAAACCACAGTGTTACAGTCGAAACTAGAGAGTGTTGCCAACTGCATGAACTATAAAGGCGCTACGCATGAAGCAAAATTCCAATATACAGCTGCTTCGTAGCTCAGAGTAATAAAATAATATTTTTTATTACTCTGAGCTTCGTAGGTGTTTTCTGGCGTTCAATCGTAGTGGAGCGTGTATTCAAAAACGATTCGTATTTACGTCATTAATGATAAGATTCGCCAGAATGGAATGATTCAATTTGTGTCAGATATCAAATTCAATAATAAAAACAAACTTTTCAATTTTTTGTGCAGGTATTAATTTTCCAGCTTCATTTTATACATTCTTACAACGTATTTGATGAAAAGTTTTCAGCACTTTATATAAACTATAGCGATCAAAATGAAGCAGAAAATGACAACTTTCGTAAAGTGATGTCAACCTCAATAATACGTTTTGAGCGCCAAAAAAAAAGCTTCATATTCCGTTACGCTTGTATATCTGAAGCAAATCGGTTTGCGCATGCGCTCAATCCAAAATTAAATACCAAGAACTTACAGTTTGCGTACCCTTTGGACACACAAAGCTGGAACTATCAGGATCATGTTTTTGCCTACTCTTTAGATCCTTAGATGGTTCATTTTAATGAGTAGGCAGATTGAGAACTCATGACGAGACCTGGGGAGTAGGCAAATTGATGCCCCGGTTTCAAGTCACATACATTTCTTGAAAATTGCTCCAAAATGGGAGCCGAAACGTCGAACACAAAACTCCAGATGCGGTTCAACCCCAACATCAAAAATATTTTTGGTACTAAAACTAGGTATAAGTAAAATTTTCCAAGTAAATATCTCGATTACGTATACACTTTTTACTTTTGTTGAAAATTTTTGTTCTAAGGAAGATATTATTACTTTTAAATAAATAAAATTTAGAAATGGTATTAAAATGACATATAATCAATCCTTCACATTCTACCAAAATTTCTAAAAACAGTAATTTGAGTTTTTCCTGAAATAGCTGGTTGTAGTATTCACCCCACGATCTGATCTGATATAAAATATTCTAACTCTGCTATTCTTCTTCAGTATTTAAATATGTTACGTATGTTATGTTATGAAGTTCCTAAGGGAACTCAACTTAAAGAAGAAAGATTTTGAGCCTCACATCCACCAGTCCTCTTTTAGTAACATTCTATTCACTCCTCAATAGACAGAAATAGAAATAACCTATAAATACTTGTTCTTGAATTTGACAAAAGAATGAGTCCGAACCAAGATGTATAAAATATGCCTGGTTTGATCACTTGGGCCCTTTCTCCATGTAAAATAGTTTGTCAAAAGTCTCGACCAACGGCACTTTTGTTAAAAAAAATAAAGATGCAGCCTCCCATTCACAGAGGTGCTGAGTACACTTGACAGTGACACTGCTTAAAAATGTCAAATTGGTACTTCCAATTTCAATGTTATTTTATATTTTTCACATTATGGTCCATTGAAGATCTGAATGAAATACAAGCGACATATTTCGATTCTTGCCCCATCTATCAATATATGTACACAGAAGAGTTCACTACACATTTTCTCTGGCATATTAATGCCTTTGTCACGGTTGGAAAATGTCCTGTTTCTAGTACACTATTTATTATCGCTGTTAGAGGGTAACTTATATAATGGACTATTTTTTTCAGCGTTTCAGAAGTTATCCCATCAAATCCGG